ACCCTGACTCGATTACTCTTCCCTGATACCCGCGATGAAGAAAAAGATCTGAGAGGACGAAGACATAGCCGTTTACTTCAGAGCCAAACAAGTTGGTGTCGTTGTTGTCGTGTGTGGCGTTCGTGCGCGTGTATTTATACCTAAGATACGTGAGTCATAGATGCACTAACCTCGAGACCTAGATTTGAAGATAATTTAGGATAATCGTTCGAGCTAATTAGTTGAGGATCCGTGCTGCAAAATAAGAGGAACCCTGTGTCGGAGGCTGAGGTGACCGGATTAACACGTGTGAATCAATGCAATTCACAAAAAGCACTTCACGCACGGTCTGTGGGTGATCGGATTTAAACCAAACACTTGGCAAAAGGATCGATGAAGTCATAGTAATAAAAGCAAGTAAATGCCGTACTTATCAGCTAATGCAGTGGTTTGTAATGGTGAAGGTATCACGGCATTTTTTACCATGTGATACGCAGATGATCGCGTTTGCGTAATGTGTCTCAGGTGCCGCTGCCCTACTGACGCATAACGTTTTGCCAAAAAAACGACTGCACACCACTCACTGACTACACAGATCCACCCACCCACCCAGCATCTACTCCGTTCACCCAGCGCATCGTCTCGCGGTCTTCGTAAGACGCGTCACCTGCTACGTTAAAAGTGCACCCAATTGACATCCACCTCTGCTCACTACGAGTCTAGTCTTTGGCACGCTGTTTGCACGGTATTGTATGCATTCTGCTATGACTCATACAAGGAAAAGAAACTGAACAGATTGTGGTTTTGCCAAATTTTATGATGTTACAATCAGGAGATGAGCGTTAGTTTAAAAGACACTCCAGCCTACTAATTATTTGGAACACATGGTCATTTTTCGTGAGGTGTTTTTCTGCTCCAAATCTTTGCTCAAAATTTCCAACAATCCGAGCAGTTGGCACTAAAAGAACGCAGTTCGCTTTACCAGGATTACCTTCCTGGGTTTTTGGGCTACAGTTTTAGGGCCAATGGTGAGGTCTCAAGGCGACGATGTACAAAAAACCTTGAAAACAAAGACAAAGAAAAGTTGTGCAGAGTTGCTTCGATGTCTGTGTTTATAATTCTGAGCTGCGCTGATGCAACCTTGTCAGTAAACCAGACTGGGTCTTTTTTCGCTGGCATAAATTTTGAATGCTGCAGTTTGTGTCAGGGGTGCCGGGCTGCCAACACGTAAGAACGCGAGAACTAGGCTGCCAAGCCACAGTATCTTATTCCTGCATGCATACACTCTGGATGAACGCCCTGTCAGTGGTTTCGCAATAATGTGTAAGGTAATAACTCGCTAATGCAATCGGTCGTTTGAAGTTTTATGCGCAAGAAATAAGAGGACTGCCAAGTTTTGTCATTCACTTGCACTTTTTTTCTGAAAGATCAAGAATTTATTGTTAACCAATGCAAACACTCCTGGTGTTTTACACAAAATAAACCTGTGTTTTTTTAATCACTTTAGGTACCTCATTTAAAGGTGGTATATAAATTTTGCCTCTGTTTTTTAGTTCACACATTTCATTGATCTTTTTAATCGAATTTCAACGTTTGCAATAATGTTTACTTCATTTTGTTAGTAAGCATTTTTTTGATCCTAGTTTCAGACTCTTACAAACATGGAATTCTATCCATCGCAATGTAACAAGTGAATGAATTAAAACCAAAACAATCTACAGAATTTCCGGGTAAACACATTAAACGGCATAATATAAATTACAAGATATTGAGGTACCTCAGTCTGTCTCCCTGCTTATGTAAAAGTGCCATCTTGTGATGCATAGCTAGAAACAATAAATTGCAAAAACATATTCTGGTTACAGCCAGCAGATAGCTGTAAAGTAACTAAACAAACTAGAACTAGCCAGAAATAGACAATAATCAGATACTCTTACCAATAAGCAAAACAAAAGAAAATATGTGAGCTTCGACAGATGAACGATGAATATCCGTTTATCAAAATTGCGTGATAAATACTTCAATCACGCAGCCTCTCTAGATATGACAGATTGTTCAACAACCTTTTTGACCATGTCACGGGTTCTAAAAATACATTTTGCTTTTTCAAGTCGGATTTAAGGTTAATTTCCTAAAAAATATCCACCCAACACCTTCCTTGGTTTGCAATCCACATGTAAATCACCGGAGTGCCTTCATTTGCCTATGTCCTTGGTTGTAAATGGAGCCTACCTATGAGTGGCTAAATTGAGCTTGTTCAGTTCGTTAAAGCGTAACGGTCTCGTATCAGACATCTGCAACTTGCTAGTATTCGCTGAAATGCCACACCCTCATTAGCATCGCTGAGAATTTTATGTACCTCTGATGTCTCCTCAGTACGTTAATTTTTTATTGTTTTTTTTTAACATTCTTTCATCATTTTAAAATCTGGCAGCCTCAAATTTGTGATAATTGTATCTGCGACCTTTTCACGACGGGATCTTAAGGCTGTATTTCACATTTCCGTGCTCAAAACGTTGTTGTAAAAGTACCTAAAAAGATAGTGGCATTTCGGTTTGAAGAATGTCGATTTTGCACAAAACCTCTTCATATTTATCGTTAACTAAATCATGACTAAATCTGCGGACTATGCTGAGCATCAGTGAATGGGAACTAAGGAACCACAATCATGTCAAAGTTCCCTCTTTTTTGGTTTTGGCAGCTTTGCAATTTCATAGAAGTTCCGTCTAATCTGTAGTGAGACGCCTACCCAATACTTATAAATTCGATTTTGATGTAACATGTGGCATACATCTGTGTACTTTGGTGGGTCAGAAGAGTCATGCTTGTCATGCACGGATTATTTTATGCGCATGTCCAATAAAAATGCATTTAAGGAGTTATAGGATGTGAGCTCAAATTTCGGTTTAGGTGACTGTGGGTTGAAGGCTATTGCATTGAATGCACTTCACAAATAGACAGAGGATATCGATTGATCGCGGGTGTGCTCAGCAGTAAAACTACGCGATCCGCATTTGGGTTTGGCATCAGCAAACGCACACGCACGCAGAGAGACACTTAAGACCTTTCTGTGAGTGTGAGTGTGTGTGTGCGTGTCTATTTACGTAAATTAATCCAACAAGTACCTTCATCTTGCATCTACTGAGACAATTTGAACTCCACCGGCCTGTATGTTCACCGGCGCCTAAGAGTTTGCGTGAGAAGCATAGTACAGTCAGAAACAATGTGCAATTTTAACAAATTTACAAAGAACTGAAATATTATGAGAGTGTTAGCCCTGATTGTAAACGCGGCCTAATTCTGCTGATAGAAGCTGAAGTTATTAAGCGTTGTGACAACTAAACTTTCAAAGAATTGTTACATTGTAAAATGTTAAGAATGCATTGCTCCGTTAAATTTTCGATCGAATTAAAGATGCGCCACAACGACCTCAAGATCTTTTCGTCATTTGCCAATCTGTATTGTGAACTGCGTGTACAAAATTTTGAGTTGTGAGGTATGATCAGTTCTGTTCCAGAGAGCGAGAATTCACAGAATTTTGGCAGTGCCAACGTCAATGCCACTATTAATATGTTTCAAGATAACTTGCTGCACAACGAAATATGTAACCTTGAATTAGTCGTGCTTGCTTCATCTTGGCATAAAACTATCTGGCGTTAACTTGCTTTAGTAAGGGAGGGTGAATTGAGTCGTGAATGGCGAGAGCAATCAGCACTGCAATGATGTTTGCAATAAGAGATCCTAAATCAAATTACCATATTTAACTGATTGTTTAATACCATCAGCCATGGAAGTTTTCATGGGAAAGTCATTCCAGCCCAGATGGACTAGGCATTACACTGTCAAAAAATAATCTTGTCTAGATAACGACATTGGCTTAAGTGGATATTTTGGCGTTCCATTTTCGCCCACTGATATTAATTCATGCTAAGCGTTGAGGGCCTCTACGTGATTTAAAAGGTTGTGTCTAATCTCCTTTTACAGGACGCATATTGACTCAATGCTAGCATGAGTGTAGCTTTAACATGTTTCACACCTCCATTACCGAAAATTGGGCATTAGTCCAATTTACAAATAAGCCGTTGCTTCCATAGTTGTTGTTGCATAAAAATTGTCACAATTAGGCCCTCGTCAAAGATAATGTGATTCAAAAACCTACAAATTTGAAAATCAGTCAAACCGGAGCCTTCTCCTTGAGCAAAAGCGACTTACTTCACTGAATAAATGCGGTAAGCAACAAGAAAATGCCTTTATCCGGTGCTTATTAACCACCGCCATAGCAATTAAAGTGAAATCAAATCCCTGTATAAAAGAAGGGACATTGAATCCAGCATCACAATTGCAGAAAAATGAATTCTTACTGGGCTGCGATTTCTCTTTATAATGGGTGGAAAGTACTTCCCGATTCTTGGCATCCTCCAAACTAATTGTTTTTTAGTACAAAACCTCATTGTGTTTGAATAATATGAGGTTATTTGGCAGGTCCAGGTTGTGGGTAGAAGAAAACAGACACAGCTGAACACCTCAGTTGAACAGCAAACCATTAATACACTCACTGTGTTGAAATCTGGAAAACTTTGTGAAACCGGGTGTGTTGTACTCTTAGCCACAACATTGTAGAATAAAACTGACCACTCAGAAATGAAATCTATAGAGCTTTCTGGTTGTTAGTTGCCACAAAAATCAGGCTCACATCTGTTGGTTGTAAAGTAAAGTGAATTGGATTTCCCTTTTTGATTACTATCATCCGATCCATGGCATTAAAGCGTTTAATGTAGCATGTATCATCAGTCACAATACCATATTCAGATGTGTGCGGGGGAGGTTGATGGCTATTGTAGGCATTAGTCATCTTTGTAAAATCTGATACGTTGCTGTGGCGATCAAGTACTACTCATTGGCAGATTTGTGCATTCATTAGTTACCCAATGAAAATGCCCCCCAGTGCAAGGTGAAGAGTTACATTTCATCGAGTCTTCATCACTCTACGTTTGTGCATATTCACACTACCAGGAGGTACAATGGCGCGCTCGCAGAAATCCGAAGAGAAAAATTCTGCCAAAGAGGTAAAGGAAAGCTCCAAAAAGGAAAAAAAGGATTCAAAGAAGAAAGAGGCCAAAGAAAAAGCTCCACAGTTCTCGACTGCCGTCACAGTCATTAATCGTGGAGAGGTCCCAAAGGGAACCACCTTTTCCAACGAAGATGTCAAAACGCTTTCCCACCCACCGACCAAGAAATCAGAAAAGGGATTAAAACCGACATCGGCAAAAATTTTTTCGGGTAAAATCGAATTCAAAGAGAAAATCATCGCCGGAAATCGGAACAAAAAACTTCTCAATTACAAATCAATTAAAATGCTGCAGCAGTTAACTTCTGACAACCGCTTGGTTTTTGTGCATTACGAAAATGAGAAAAACGGTTACTTTTTCGTCCTTGGTGTGTCTGAAGCCAACCACGCGGTAGCTTTTATGAACACAGTGAAAAAAGCCAATATTAATGCGGATATTCGATGGGCAGACGAGGCTTCCAACAGCCACAGTGACCGAAGGGATTCTAGTGCGACCTATGAGTACGCCGTGACACAATCCACATCACAAAGGACTCCCGAAGTGTCTAAACCTATAGTCCTCCAAGGTTCTTCTCCTGATAAAAAAAATCGAAATGGAACTAAAACTGTAAACTCGTACATTTGCAATGGCTCTGATTCCGATGATGATAATGATGAAACGATATACTCAAGGCAGACTCCTGGAGATTCAAGTGATCACGCCGACAAAGTTCACGCAACTGCATTTCATGGCAGAAGTACTGATTCAGGCGACGAAATTGCTTTTGACCATGGACCCCGGTCATTTTCCAATAAAATAGTGACCAGATATATTTACACGGGGCCAAGTGACGAGGAGGATTCAATTACCGGAAGCGTCCTTCAAGAAAAGCCCAAACACAAAAAATCCAGCCGACCCAACCACCAGCATTACATTTTGGAAGATGACTACAGTGCTTCCATGACACCAACGACCTCGGACTTATCTGATGGTGATTACTACTCTAATAACGGATTTGGAATTTTGAAAGTACGCTCCGAGAAGACGCCTTTACACCGAAAGGCTAGCTCTAGTCGAAGGTCACCTCGCCAACTAAAGTCGAGAGAGCTGCCTCTCTCTGAAGCGGAGAGCAAGAAAGGCGGGTGGCATTGCGATTTCGTTGTTGTCACACCCACAAAGGACGGAGGTGCAAAGGTCTCGCCTGATGGGTCCGTAATGCTCTACGTCGCAACGCGTGCAAACGTTCGTAAAGGCTCCAGTAGTTCTTCTGATGAAGACAGCACCTCGGACGGAGAAAGCAATTTCTCGTACACGTCGAACTCAACACTCACACTCGAGGGTACTGCAAGAAATCGGGCAATAAACGGTCTGGAAGTAAATTATGGTAATGGCCTACGGTAAATTTTGTCGTCGTTTTAATCTGTATGTTCACACTTAACGCCCTTGCTCCCCTGCTAGTTACTCCCTGCCTTTGTTTTTTGTACATGGACCGATTTGTCATTCAAATTATGATATTAATAATGAATTTTGGCTTTACTTTAAAATTTCTTTACTCGGTGATGGGACATGTTAAGACCGCACGTAGTTATCAACTTAATTGACTTTCAGTAGTGTTGCATTACTACACTAATTTATTCCGTGTCTGCATTTAAATTTACCCGATTGCATGAAGTGTATGTACTGTGAGGTACTCCGAATACGGACTACGGCACTTGCACTTTGCTATCCTAAGACAAGCAGTTTGCTGTCAGAATGGCTCCTCGAAGGAGACATACACACAGCACCTGTGACTGGTCTTTTGCTTATTTGGGGACGACGTCTTCTGGCGTAAGTTATCCCACGTAATGGAGATATTTCGCTGAATCTCATTAAACTGGATAAGTATGAAATATTCTCCAGAATGTCTTTTTTAGCTTGTCGCAGGACCGAGTAAGTGGAACAGCTAAAGCGTTAGCGGAGGTACCTTAGTTTAGCGAATACATCGTCCCAAAACAGATCGTTTGAATGTTAAAAGCCAGTGTCATTTATGATTAAACAGTAGTCGACTATACGAGACGTTGGACAGTCTATGGTTAATTCACTTAGCTGACAGTTGCGAAGAAGCAGTTACTAGATTGTTTTACAATTATACTTTGCATATAGTATCAAAAATATTCTTTAAATGCAGACAAACATAGTTGGGCTTAATTCGCATTAATCCCGGTGAGGCAAGTATGCTAAAGTAGGAAGCTTGATGGTTATCTACATTTGTCATTATTCAAAATCCTCATACTTCTTGATGCCGTTTACTTTCAGTAGACTTGGGGAATTCAATGCTGGACTTACCACTTTAATTAATGTTTACATCTTTTATGTGGTTAGCAAAACACAATTGGATGTTTTCAGGGCACTAAGACTTTTGATTCTCCAATCCCGTGATTCGCCATTACTTCAGTCAAACCCAACACTCGCACGCTTTTTTGCTACTCACCTCAGATGGAACGAATTCTCCACCAGTGCACATTGTGTGGGTGTGTGCGTAATCACTTTAAGCAAAATTTCATAATTTCTCACACGTTTGTCATTGTTTGCCAATCCAAAACAGGAACTTGTACAATTTCCAAAAATTAAACAAGACAAACGCTGATTGTTCCTCGTGCATGAAATCGTTTGATTTGACGAAGCCACAATCTTTGATTTAAATTAAGAAAAGAAACCATTGGAAAGGAAGCACACTGCCCTGCGGTAGTGTGTCAACTCCGAGTGACCAGGGCGCTCTGCGGTGGAGGGGTGGGGCGCGTATGCCGTCTGCCTTTCGCATGTGAAGGCACTCCAACGGCTTGTCAGTGCTCAAGCTGAGCGCCTACCACTTGAGCTCTTCCAATGTGTCGCTACCAGGTTTATAGTATTAATTCGGATGCTAAGAAAATGGTATTACTACGAAGGAAACACCGTTTATTAATATCAGTTTATGATGCCGCATAACCGAAAAAGAAAAGACCTCTGGCATTTGTATTGCCACTTAAATTCTCGGTTCTAAGCAAGGAACTATGTAACAACTCCATCGCTCCTATTTCTGGTTATATTTTTTTTTATTATACTCGGCAAATTTAGCTAAAGTTGGTAACACTCAGGCACCTGACTGCAAATTCAATAACCGTCAACTAAAAGATATACAAAATTATAGTGGTGAGGGTAGCTCCACGCACACCGAAATCTAACTGCCAAACTGCTCACACACCATTAGACCTCAGTATGCTTGCGAAAGGTTTGGAACCCACCACAGGTCTCGTGACTTGTTAAAGGCCGACTCCAATAGATTGTCATTGCGTATTTTCGAGTGCTTTAATTGAAGACGATTGGCATTTGTGACCTGTTCCTTCTCCTTTTGGACCCACTCAGAGATGTTCCAAAGTACTCCCGCAGAACACAATTGGACATCGTCCCTTGTGGGTCAATAAGCGGTCATGTTCACCAATTTTGATGTCAGATTTCAGGAATGTTAACAATGGTAGAGGGTTGTAAGGTAGCTTCTCATCGCTGCATGCTCATTAATCCGTCCCAGCTTCAGTAGCAATTTATGTTAAGTTACCGACTCCACTGCTACTTTACCTGTGCGACACAAAAATCCCAACTTATTTTGAGTGAGCGAAGTGATGATCGCTTTGCCATGTGGCGTGATTCAAATTGACCTAAGCCCAGAAATGTAACGATGTTCTAACCAATCAGGTACTCTTAGTAAGCACTGAGCCACCCGTTGTGTTTTACTTGGTCTTCTATTAGAGCATAAGAGGACATTCATGCGGGTCTACTTATAAAATTATCATCGAGGTGTCATTTGCAATTCAATCCACTTTTGCTCACTTGCAAGCTTAGAGTGAGTTTAGTCAAGTGAGAAAATGCAGACTCCCTGCACCACAGAGTAACCAATTCCACCAAGAAAGTCCACATACCGTCATACTTTGTGTGACTTAATGTTCAATGCCTCTTACCTTGGTTTAACATGCACTGCTTCTGGCATTGAATTTGTGCAAAAAAAATAACTTGCTTTCAAGAGATTATGCCACTCTGATGATACCGTCGTAGGTTTTACGCAACCGGGTCCTTAATTGTCCAAAACAGGTCATTGTTTTTTCTTAATAGTCTGGCTAATATCCCTCTAAATCGTAGTTTGTAATCAAACTTATTGGTTTCAAATCTGGTTAATAAAAAAAGAAAATATTTATGTTTGCTGCAAAGTTGTAGCTATCAATATTGCTTCACTTTTAATAATCCAGTTCCATCCAACAAACTCCGAGTATAATATAGGCCATGTATTATTGAGAAACTTAAACTAGTAGACAGGAATATAATTAGACTAATTTTGCTTGATTTTAAAGTTTCTTTACACTTAAAGTCACTTGAGGGTGATTCAAACAGTACGCCTCCCCTCTGGCGTTCGCTGTGCGCCACGCCACGCAGACACTTATTAAATCTTTCCATCTCCAATTATCAATCATTTTTTTCAAATCTTAAGGTATAGTCTTCTCTCTGTGTAGCTCACAAATCATGGCATTACGTGGCAAAGCATGGATTACTTCATCAGGATTAGAGGAAACCTGCATGTTGGCCAACTTTGTTTGGCCAGACCACCGTCTGATTGCGAATGTTATTTGTGCCCTTTGCTGCCGTTCGTGAAACATCATGCCACCCGTTAGCACAGGTCCTTGACATAGCCGAGTCCTTATTGAAAGTTGATTTTCTTCGAGCTAACTTTCGGATTTGAAAAGGGTCACTGTTTCACACGACCTGCTCAGTTTCAAAACATCTGACCGTCTTTGTCACTCTAATATGCAGTAACAGAATATTACCATGAATGCCTACTAGGTCCTATAAAAATAATCCCAGCAATAATTTTTTTCTATGCTTCAAATTTGTGCAAAGATGAAATATCAGTCGAATTTGTACTTTTTCTTCCAAGGGATGGTCCGAAATACCATCTAAGATGTTGCTTACAGTCAAAAAATTTCAGTGGTCAACATGTTCAGTTTAAATTCTTTGCTGCTTATTTTTGTCGACAACGCCTGATTGTAAAAAGGAAGAAATGTGGCCAACTCTACAGACAAAATGACCACTCTAATAAAAAAATTGTGCACCAACAATTTGCGAACAAACATACCTCATAGCTTAGAGGAGGTCTAGAGGGGGTAATTTGTTTAAGCAGAGTGTAATTTTGCATCCGCCGTGGGGCATTCCGCGAGAAGCGAAATTTATGCAAATAATGCTACATTTGGGTAATGTGCCAGATCTTTTTGTAATTCATGTTTATAGTCTGAGTTCCGCTTTCTGACAACATGACATGAGTACTGACAGTCAAAAGAAAGTTTGCACGAAACAAGTTAACTTTCCGCGTATAAAAAGTGTCATCTCAAAATTGACTTACAAAATTGGCTTTCGGCTAAACCTTAAATCACTCATCGAACAGTAGGCACATGTGTTCCTATAACATCTTGTTGGCCTCTGATTGTGTCAGTTTGTTGGAAAAAATGCAATTTGGTTGTAAATAAAAGAACATCATGGTAGGACATGAATGCAGATTACGCGAGTGGCCATCCAGTGAACAATGTACAGATGTTACCTCTTCAATTTGGTCCTCGAGGCAGGCGTCTTACTTGTGAAGTCCTTGTAGCGGCTTTGCTAGCACTACCTTACGACCCCGCTAGTCGACAGTCTGAAACAGCTAGAGAGGAAAGGCAAGACCGATAGCAGCAAATATGACGACTTATTTTCATTCGCCTCCCCAAATCTTCACACCCAAATCGCGTGAGCGAATATCGAACGTCAACTGTAATCTACAATCAATGACTTTTGATTAACTCGTGAATAAGCTTCATTCACGCCCGTTTGGTAAAAGTTCACTACAAATGTTCCTTCCCGAGAGTGCTGGCAATGAGACACAGTAAACGCTCGAAAATTACTGAACTGAATTAGCAAAGCAGACTGGTGGTCTCAGGGGTCGACGAAAACGGGAGGTATGACTGAGTAGGGTTACAGCAGAGTGTAGAGGAAGTTCGTTATTGTTTGAATGTGGGAAAAGAGCGTTGTTCTCATCCGTGTAGGCTGTTTTAAGTTGGTCTACACTCACAGCATCAAGAAATTCATTTTTTTGTCGCGTTTTTCTACTTTAAAAGGGCCATCGTTAGGTGGTTGTAGTGATTATTTTGACATCATCAACGCGGATAAAAAACAAGGGGAAGTAAACAAACTTGGCTGAATAATTGCCTGTCGGGAGGAAAATCTTAGTGGAACAGCTCGAATTTCCTCCATACAGCACCTCAACTGATCGACGTAAGCTGAAGAAGGAATATTGGCATTGTTCTTGGGAATAGCGACCATTTCTGCAAGCTTCTTCAACTTGTGATGGAGCTTCGGAACGAGGTGATTGTGTTCATGTATACCAGTAGAGATTTAGTTCATATTTTGCGTAGGTCAAATTCATCAACCTCACTATCCCCGGAAAAGAGTCCAAAGGAGTTGAGGAGATCGGTCAAATAGTTCGATACTGGAAAGTAGGTGTTGATGATTGGCCGCGCTTTAAGCTGATCAAGTGTTTGAGAACAGCGTTTTTCAACTTTTCATAGAGGTTTTTACAAAGCATTGCTCCAAGCAAGTTGATAAACTTTGTAGCAACATCTCTAGATAGCTATACTACAACCTGCAAATACGTGGAGAACTGGGAAGAAATTATCTGATTGCAAAAATGGGCCTCAGGTCATCTAAATCCAACTCGGGCTATACAGGAGAAAACTGACGGAAATGATGTTTGCCGAACCTATGTTTACAGCATTGGACTCACACGTTGTTAACAAATCAGAATGCTGTGTCTTCTAGGGTCGTCAAATGCAGCGGCTTCGTTAGCACTACCTTAAAACTCTGCTAGCTGACAGTGCGTAACAGCCCGAGAAGAAAGGCAAGACCAATGATGGCAAACATAACGATGTATTTACGCTTGATCACCCAAGTCTTTTATAGCACAGCGCGTGAGGGCATCTCGAACGTCAACTGTAATCGACAAACGGTGACTTTCGATCAACTCGTGAATACGCGTCACTCGTGCTCGTTTGGTAAAATTTCACTGGGCTTAATTAGTTGTTTTACCTTAAATTGGTCAAAAGTGCAACAAATCACAGTAAGACAAACCGTTAGGTACCAAAATAAATTCGCTGGTTCAAACTAACGCATTCCTTATTAAAATGCGACTCTGCGCAATAATTTGTATACATGGAAGGACAGAATATTTACATGTACTTCCATCATTGACTAAAATCGGCTCATCTTTAAAATCAGTTATATTTGGACCTCTTTTGTCGATTTTCTAATAAAACCAATATATCCAGTTTCTATCTTGAAATCACGGCTATAATAAAATTCAGCCCATTCGTGAAAAGCAAACCAATTTACTGTTTTGTCATACAACTAAGGCTGCCAAGTTCATTGATTTTGTACTTTCTACGGAAAAGGCTATTTCCTTGAGTTGCTGATGGTTAATGTTTTCAGTGGCAATTCTTTCGTGCCATTACAAATTCCACTCATTTAGTAATAAACACATGTCCTGAATAAATTTCTTTGCTGAAATCAGGAAAATCAAGCAATTTAATGAAATGTAGTCTTTCAATCTGAAAGCAATTCAGTGATTTTCAATTTAAGCTGAACTCTGATGTCCAAAATGGGTTAAATTACAAAAAAGCTGTCACATTTATGAGAACTTACCAAATTATTTTCGACAACAATATTCTTTGTTGCACATTTTAATGTCCTATGCGACGCCACTCTCCGGTACTTAGGTTAACCAATTATATTTCGGGTAGGGGGCTATTTAACGAAGTGATAAACAAGCGTGCCGTGATACACTATTAGCAGTATATCGCCTCGCCGATGAAAACTCCTCCAAGTAAGTCATGTTTTCAATGCTGTTAGCCTCAGTTCATGGTAAAAAGTCCTCGATTTACTCATTTTTGACATCAAAGTGGGTAGACACTGCCCGTTTTGGCTTTACCCTGGTAAAACCTGGGTATCAGGCCATTGGCACCCAAATGGAAGTCAGAAAAATATATATTCATTAAAAAATCTGAATTACAATTTAATCCATTAACGAAAGCAATAATTACATGTCACTAAGATGATATTTGCAACAGAAGTGTTGTATCACTGCAAATTTGATATCTCGACTAATCTGTGGGAGTGGCTTTATCTTCAAGTTCTAAAAGAAGTTGAAGTGCTAGTTAGGGTTTACTTGCATTAGAGATTATAAGCTAAATCCTAGGATTCTAGATAGTCCCATTGCCTCATACCCTCATCACCGATTGCTGAAAAACGTGTGTTGTAAAATGGGTTTAAGACCTGAGCAAAGATCCCACCAAGTTCATTTAGGTGATGAAAGTAACTTTATACTATCTTTGACCAGGAGACTGCCCAGTGCACAAGTCACTTCAGCCGTTCACAAAACTCCTTGGTGAGTGGGAGGGCGAGGGGTACATGAGTCTCTACACTCCCACCAGATACCCATGTTCTGAGCACATTTCTATCGGCCACATCGGACAGCCTTCGTTTACGTACAGGTAGACAGTGTATTTTCGTCTACGCATGCTGTTAACCAATTGAATGTACTTGGATAGCATTCGCACAAGTTGAAATGGTAGTGGTTAAGTGATGTAAGGAGTAGTAAACAAGGTTTTTTTCACACACATTACGATAAGGATGTAAATGTAAGAAGATCCGATTCATAAATTAATGAAAAAGTCTAAGAAGAGTGATATTTAGGGAACTTTTCACGGAATATGAATGCCTTGACTTTATTTTTAAGTAAACATCAAGCAAATTCTTAGAAAAAATTGTTTTATTTTTTGAAATGCCACCATCTGATTTTGAATGGCTGGTCTTCTAAGTGCGCGGCCAGGAAAATCTGTTGATGAAATATATGAATCTTTCAGCAAAAACTAATGCTTGAACTTATTTTAGTCCAACATCGTCACTTTGAGTCCCTCAGCATCCTCAGACAAAAGTATGGGTTTTCAAGTATGATTTCATGCAGCGAAGCTTTATTGCCTACCTGTTATTTTTTTCTTAGTGAATGGTCAGGCCAATGGGAAAAGATGGGTTTGAACAACCCTGATTTCGGTGGAACTCATTAATTCGTCAATACCTTTGACCTCAAATAAAGAACTTTTTATGAAGACATATATGAAAAGTGCTTGGGTTCAAATAAATTAGCAAGGCTTGTTAATGTGTGATTCTTGAGTGTTTAATAAACAGGAACCTGTTAACATAATCGATAAATAACAGCGGCACTTGTGTGCAATGGCGACCACCACGTCCGTGTGAAATGTTTTTAAGATCGTTCATGGATGATTTCGCTAGGTATAAGCGAAGGTGAATTTCGAATGTCAAGCGTCCCTGCTTAAACTAGTGTCTTGCTACACTAAAGGTCTGCGCTCACCCTGTTGTATTCGGAATTCTGCTTTTTTCCTAGTCGAGCCGTGTCCACATTGTTTGTCTGACCCGGTGCGGTTTAGAATCACAGCGGCGCTTCCACGTGTGTAAAATGTGAGCGGCCTGAATCAAGCAGATAATATTGCCTTCAAACCACCTTCAGCACCTTAAAAGACGTCACGAATGACGGAAGCCTGTATCTCACTTCTAGCTGCTGTTAGCTGATTTGATTTTAGCCTCCAATGTGGCCGGCAGTCCAATAATCTATGTTTACTAATTTCATGCAAGCAGAGGAGCTTCATCGACTCTGTTTTAAAGAAACATGCAAAACACCTTGATTGCTTCGTTAATTTCACGAATGAGGGGACAATTATCTGTAGAACCTTAGATAACCAATTAACCGATTTCAAATGCGTTATTCGAAACCAAAGCTCACCCTCTAGCATCACCGGGATTATTTAATAGCAGCCTTAAGGGCAGCCGTCGCTTTACCATTTTACTCATCTAAAGTCTTCTTAAACAATGTATAATTAATGACAGAATAGCGGCTCCGTTAAACTCGAAAGCACAGCTCCACAAAAAGACCGCAATGTGAAAAAAGCGAACTCAGACAACTCATGCTTAAATTCGGGTGCTGAGTTCATATAATCTTTTCCTTAGAAGTGAACGCTTCAAATATTCACATCGATTTCATGTTCTGCAAGTCTTAAAATGTTGCGGGTCCAAAAATAGCTATACATGTATGTTTTGCAAATTGCATTGTGAAGTTCACGTTTACTGTCCAATGCAAATTAACATGGTTCAAATCTTAAATCGAACGTACTAAGGATTACCAAATAGGTCAGAGGATTTACCACTGTTTCTCCAAATTTTGTCCATCAATTATCGCCTCAACCAATAATGTGCGTATCTCAGTGATTTTAGTAAGTTGTACACTTGTGCAGTAGTTCCACACCGAAACTGGGAATACTGGAGTAACTGCATAGTTCTGCCTTCTGTTTAGAAGAAATCTCCAAACCCTTGCGTCTGTGCCTTTTTAAGTAATTGCACAGAAGCCGGTTAGGAAGAAAACCAATTAGTGCTATTTCATAGCAGATTCGCTCACTTTCCATAGGAAGACTCTAGGGGTCAAATGTCGTTCAAGACTTCAAACGACTGATGGTTTTGAGGCTAAGTTTAGTGTTTGAAAGCTCTTTTCTGTTTCATTTCTGAAGTTCGATGGCCCACTCTCAAGAAGCTTTTCGTCACCGTGATATGGGTTTCTTTTTCTTTACTGAGGCGACGCAGAAGATGCAATTCATGGTCAGCGACAACACAGGTAATTTCGGGGGCCCGTGTGAGCCTACCACAGGAATGATTGCCTAAATTAAACCAACTGATTATTTTCTTGTAGGTCATGTCTGTATCATGACAGGAACACCAAAGGTGGACAGTAAGAAAATAGAAATGGTTCTTGAAACGGAACTTTGCGAAGGGCACCCTCTGCCAGGGAAACCGCAAACGATTAAGGTGAGTCCTTTGCAACAAATCAAATTAAAATACCTTCCCGCTGTTCGGAAAACACTATATATGCCGAAACAAAACAAATTGTTTTTACTCTTTTAATCGAAAATTCCCTAAAGTTAAGGATATCCAATAAGAGTTTTTGTCCTTATTAACGGTACTGCGTCAAGATCCAACACAAAGTAGCCAAAGAAGGCGAGGAGACCGTTTGCTCCACAGCTCAACAAAGTTGTGTGCATCGAGGGTAGAGCACACTCGCAAGTCCTAAACTGGTACAAGGGAAAGTTGCCAGCGTGGACGAATATGGGTGCACAGTTCTGGCGTGGCCATGTGAACACCGAGGGTGGGGGTGTGGGATAAACAATCAGGACGTGCGTGGGTTGTGACTGAAGCTCAAAATAAACAAGATTCACTGCCCGTTTTCCAAATTTTACGCTGATATTCTTCATTTCTGCTTCATTAGTCATGCTAATTCCCACGGAGGGATTGTATTCGGTTCTGAGCTTTACTTCCTTATTTCTGCTACAAATGTGATTTTCTCACAAGTTTACTTAACCATATTAAATAGTTTGTGTTCTGATGTGCTGCCCAAACTTGCCTAAAATTTCAAACAGTGGAGTAAAATAAAAGAAATTCAACACGACTTTTTTACTCTGAAGACAACCCACAATCAGTGCAAAAGGGGAAGTTACCTCACAACATCTAAGCAGATAACAGTAATAATTACTCTAACTTTTTGATTTTGTGTTGTATGAGTAATCTCTTTTTTATATCAGTTATTAAATGTGCCAGTAGCATGAGAAACGGAAAAAGAGGAGATGTGTCTATAATTACAAAACCCTGTTCTATCTAACCAAGCGTCCTTTCTGTTAAAATTCGAAAAAGCACACATTTTAAGTGTCCCTTCAGAATAGATCCATTAGCGAATGTAGAAAGTCAATGTAATAGGAAATGTTTTCCTCAAAAAAGTAATTAAGGTGGTTATGCGTTTTACAGTCCAATCAGGCATTTTGTGCTAACATTTATCAAAGAATAGAACATTGGGAAGGCGTGTGATTAAAAAAACGCGGATGATCACTCTGGCATCGATCATGACGACGATACATTTGCAAGCCCATCGATATCCAAAGCCTAAAACGAGTTAGTATGTTTGTTTAAAGTAATCGCCAGAGCGGTGGAAGTCAACGCGCTAGGTGGCAAATAGATTGCAAATTAGCTATGGTTCTGCTTGTATAAGATAAATTAGGTAACACAATGGTTATGCTAAATAAGTTTTAACTTTAGTCACTGGAGGACGCGAACAGTAGCTTCCAAACATATGTACGCAATATGCGTGCCGGTAGTAACTAAAGCAGGTTTCTTCAAAAAAATTGACTTATGGTGTGACAGAGCATCTAATTAAAATGTCTTCTATTGGGTACAACAAATATTCAAATGGGTGTGGATACGGAAATAGCCTTTGTTTGCTGCTAATTCTTTAGTATTTATTAAAAAGAAGACGCCGATCCTTTGGCCAAATGACTGAAGCACCTTAAAACGTTGTCAACTTATGCCAGTTAACCTGTCCTGATACCATGGTTTCTTTTCAGGTGTGCCGTGAAATCACATTAGTTGATGAGGATACGCTGATGCAAAAGGTGTACATTTACACCACAAGGAAAGCCGAACTAACACTACATACGGATATGGTCTACAAACGTTCCGCTATGTAAATCCACCAGGCTTTAACTGAACTAAACAATCTATTCTTCCGTACATGAGGTGCAATCAAAAATTGACTCCATCAATATGTATTAGCGCCTCATATTGCTTATTTTCACTTACAAATTCTTACTTATACTTCCTGTGGAATTGTTAAAAAATTTTTTTATGGTTCATAAACCTTTATTATGTTATAAGAAGTACCATACAGATTTTCGATCCCACACAGCCACTAGTAAAGTAAATTCTGTTGGGGTGACTCCCCACAATGTCGAATTTCGTGTTGACATTCTAAACTACCATCGACTTTAACCGAAATATCAAAAAGGCGATTTTTATTGTGCTGATCTGCGTAAACTAGTGTAGAAGCTCATTTGATGCAGGCATTTTTAGCGAGGAACAATACGAAATTAACTGAAAGTTATCATTCACTAATCTTTATGGAAAATGATTACATGGGAGTTGAAAAGTCTAGAACTTCATGGGAATGGATAATCTGAAATCGTGTTTTGCCAATTTTAAAGTCAAGACAGTAAATGCATCAAAGGATCCAAATGGAGTAAGTTGTTTGCAAGCCTCCACATTCTGAATATAGTTCCTAAAAGACAAGGTTTCTTTTGCATCTAAAACAACTTAATCGTACCAAGCAACTCACTTTATACATGACTACAGAGAGATTCGTGGTGACTTTATTTTTCATGCCACTTCGGTCCACTCAACATTACCTGAAATTTCATGAGGTCACCTCCCTTGATGTTTTCGTTGTTTCAAATCCCGACGCATCTCTTCCTGGATGATGATCCCGCTTCGAAACCGCTTTGGCCATCTTTATACTTGATTGAACATCACGCTGATTAGCCTTAATTGGGGACTCTGGTCTAGGGCCAGTGTTACCGTGAGCACAGAGATACAACAGCTTCGAATGAGCAGGCATTAGAGAACTTCGATTGGTCGCACCATGCCCATTTTTAAGAAATCATTGGCTAAACTAAAAACCAATAATTCGAATCCGCGTACAGTATTTCCAATAATTATGTTTAAAAGCAACGAAATTGTTCATTTCAACTCGCACATTAGATTTGAGCCTAGTAAAGTGCAATGAGGTCTAGTTTGAAGGCGTAGAAACCATCAGAAGTTGTGCAGGCAGACTTGTAGTGGACTGACAGCCACCTCGCGTGAGTCATGCGTGCATGAGGGCCCGAGTGGACCAATGACTCACCCCTTCTGTTATAGGCTTCTGTCAGCATTCGCCTGCTAAGCACGCGTACGCACACGCCCACAAAGCCACTTGGCTGGTCTGACACTAATAAACGGTCGTGTTCTGTCGCCTCTTTTCCCCTTTTCCTCGGGTAGTTTCGGGCTGTTGATTAGAGGGTTGTAAGGTAGTGCTTAATCTCTAGCCACTACAGACTCTTCTTCCGAGATTTGTATCTTCCAAAATAGCAGCACATTTTTTCTTGATAGGTGCATAAATCCTAACTCCTTGCTCTAATCAGATGAAGTTGTCACAAGTATTAGCACGCGAATCTATTGTATTTCGAAAGAACTTGTAATATTCTGTAGTATCAAGGGTCGTTTTTCCGTGAAACAATTTGCCATACAGCACGTTGTTTGTGCAGAATGGAAGAACCGAACAGACACTTTGAACTCAATTGTTCGTCCATATGACATCTTGGAAAAAAAGTATGGCCGCGTTATGTATGGCACCTGTATGGTCGTTAGAAAATTAAATAATACTGGCCTTCCACAGCAACGACTTGTGTACACGAAAATTATTTTCGTTTTGAACAGTTGAGAGGATATTTGTGAATTCCAGTAAACAGTAAATAAACAACGTGCCAAGCGTAGATAATGTTGCTTGTTTTTGTGTCATTTCACGGCTGATTCCACCGAACGACATAGAGCAAGACGCGATGGAACACGTTTTCGTAATTGATTATGATCCATGTACTGCCATTTAAGTGTGTAATTAGATCAATTATTACGCGTATCTTACCCGAAAAAAACATTTCTTTAACCTACCTGCGTCACGTAAAGCCATCCAGATCATTAAATATGTGCTTTTTATTCCTGGGGATTTTCAAAATTTCCCTCAGAATGCATTCTTTGTGCTTTCCACAAGACACCTCAACGAGAATCACCTGAAGAAAATAATCCGAGATTGTTAAATAATTTCCTTTCAACCTAACCTATTTCATGTTACTTGGACCATTAATGTTAGGTTGTTTGACTCTGGATCAGCAATACATGCTTTGGTGCCTATTTCCTGAAAGATCCTCCCTGATTTTCACATTCAGACTATCTTTGTGTAGACAACAAAACCCATTTACCCTCCGCCATTGCCATCACTTCCCTTATCCTTCAACACTACAATTGTTAAAATAGTAGGCTTTTAAGGTAGGCACTACAAGTTCCGTTAAAATTAAAACTTTATTAGAGCCAATAGAATTTTTTTCACTATTTTCTGCTGATCAACACAGAGCCACTTTCGATATTTAGTGTATGTTTTGGTTGTCAATTTAACGTTGGATCAAAGGTCATTCATTTTAAGTTTGTTCAGTATTTAAATATTTGCACTATTGAATAAAGTTAAATCCATGCAGTATGCAAAATAAATTAATGTCAGCTGTCATGTGACTGTTTTCCATGCTTTCAACTTGATCCATTAAGGACTACATGTTAAAAGCTATAAGATAACTGAACAAAGTCCAATGGCGAATTGAGTAGTGCCTAAGTTGTATGATTTTGCACTTTTAGCCTATTCAAGCCTATCTGTAAACACCGATTCGTTGTCTGGTCCGCTTCTTAAATTGAACAATTCCCTTTACGGAGAAACAGCTGTGCGAGAAGCCATAAATTGTGGTGCGGAAGTGTCTTTACCCATGTGAACTAAAAAAATGAGTGCCAGTAGAAATCAACAGATAGGTGTTGACTGTTTGTGCATGTGTGTGCATGTTGCGAATCACGGATTGACAGCAGCGATGTGCGCAATCAACACGGTCCTGCGTGTCGGCATGGCAGGCCCTCTGCGCACATCATGTGCCCAAAGAGGGCCCCGTGTAAATTAACGCAACGGAAGCGTAAGTCTGCCTGTAGACAAAGTGACTTATAAACAGACGCCCTTTGCTCTCCTCTATTTATAGTTTTTTTCAGATATTGTTCAAGCAAGTGACATTTCGTGCAGCTATCCATTCTTGAAAATAAATCAATCCAGATACAGAAACTCTTGCCATTGATAGCCTAATAGCACTATAAGGGCATTTTCGCAGAATTGGACGGTTTCTGCCTTTTTAGTACACCTCAGCTCATGTCGGGAGCCATAACAAACCAAAGCTCGATTCCCGGTTGAAATGCCAAGGACGGCAAAACAGAACTGGCCAGTCCCTTGAGGCAAACGATTCGCATTTAAAATGCCAAAGCTATAGGCAATAGTTTAGGACCGCATTTATATAAAATATGAGAACAGTAAGTTCACAAATTACTGGAATTATTCAAAGCCTCGGAGAATTTGGCATCCAAAGAATGCAAGAATCACTTGCAACCATGTATTCACGATCGTTTGAATCAATTTGATGCTTCCTAATCAGATTTGCACGCATGATCAACCGCCTGGAACATTTTGTTTTGCGACTCACACGTTACGTGGTCCCTGTAGGTATTTATCTTAGCACGACTTTCGATCAATTAAAAGTAACAAATGTGGGGCCGGTTAGTATGACCTTTGTCAGCTATGCTGCAACGCTTTTCCCAGGCATTACGGCCCCAAAATGCCTACGGCAAAAAATTAGCAAACGACAACAAAAAACTTCAACATAACTCTACTCATTCCATTAGAAGCTCGATCGTAATCCGAAAGAGATTTGTCTGAATTTACTCGCCATTGATTAAAGACCCAAAAACTCAGGCTTTAAGCAACAGCCGTTGTATGTCCCGTTCATTCAAAAGCAAGTAATTCAAAATTACTTTATTCTGGCAAAGGGTTTGTTTTTGATGAAGCGATGCTCAGAGCCATCAAGACTAACTTCCGGCAAAGGCTATTACTGGATTGAAAATGTTAAATAACGTAAGAGGACCCGCTAATATAAATGCATCATCGTTGCAACTTACGGAATGTTGCCTATAAGTACGTAATGGATTCGATTTACAACTAATCGCAGCTATCAACCAGCGGCATTTATGCGTCTCGATAACACTCCAATCCATGTGTTGTGGGCCCAAGCATGTGGTCTTGAGCCACGCCGGGGCCACTGAATTAACCCTGACCCGATAACTCTTCCCTGATACCCGTGATGAAGAAAAAGACCTGAGAGGACGTGGACACAACCGTTTACTTTAGAGCTCAACCACATTCGTGTCGCATTGTGTGTGAGAATCGCGCGTATGTGTTTATTCCTCAGGTGCGGGAGTCATAGATCGAGACCTAGGCGTGAGGATAATCCAGGATAAATATTCGTGCGAATGAGGAGGGAGCTGAGGATCCGCGCGGCTGGCGACTTGCTGCGAAAAGGGAATCCCTGTGTCAGAGGGTGGAGAGACCGGGTTAAGGAGCGTGCATAAGCACGATTCACAATACATGATTAAAAATGGGAAAGCAGCCGCTTAAGGTCGGGGCACCCACACGAGATGTTATCTTCATTAACGGCAATAATTTTTTCCCGGCTGTGAATAAAACGCTCTTATATCCAGCTTTACGTCTCACGTGTTGACCCTTATTCAGTGACTTACTCATTGATTGCTGTGCACACTTCATATCAGTGTACAATGAACCACATAAAATACACCCCCCAACTGTGTGTAGCAGATGAATAAACGAGAGTACAAAGAAACTGTATTCATTATCGTTGTGTGAAACATAGATTACTCAAGCCTATCTCAACTGGGTAAATTAGGCAAGCCTATTTATACCGGTGTCAAGCACGACAAATGCCTCAGCAAGCTCACCCAGTAATTAACATCGCCCAAAATACCCGTCTCCACTCAAAATCGACTCAGTCACCGATGTCTCTAGGGCTACTCAGACGCGGTGATTCCGCCATCTGCGGAAAATGTGTCCCAAGTTTGAGCCATGACCAATCGATTTGGCCAGTGGATGAGGGTACACGATGCTTGCACGGCTTTAAGGGGAAAACACACGCAAATGCCAGATGGACTGATTGTCATTATACCAAACATTTTACAAATAGAAATGTGGGAACCAAACAAGTTTCCAATAAAGGTCTAGTGGGCCATAACTCCAACAGAATCCACACCTATGCAGGAAGATTTAGCTTTTCAATGGCGAAAACCGCACTTTTGAGTGGAGTATCGGAGGCAAAGTGGACGATCATTATCCCCGTTATGGTTGTACACAGGATGATCGTGTCTCCGGGAGTTGTAATGGATCCCTCAGGTTTCGAAAAGGCCACGCAAGCCAAACTGAAGAAAAGAAAGCAATTTTGAGAGGTAAGGTTTAACGAAGACACATGACTCGAGTGCTCAAACTAATTTTGCGGCCTGAAGATGCCATGATAACATTCGTCGGGTGAAAATCAATCCGATTAGCCTAACATGCACCAGGAAGCTGGCGACATCCGCCTGCCACTTGTCAATGCCTATTCGACACCTCCTTTCTGAACTGAATGCGAGGGGGTGAGTATAAGAAGGAAGTCGATAGGTGCTTGCTTTAAAATTATACTTTAGACAATTGGCAAAATTTTCAAAAATCATAAAAAATATTCTTTTTTTTTCGTCATAGCTTTTTAGGATGCAAGTGATGGTTTTATGTGCAAAGTTGTGTTTTTTGTAGTAGTAATTCTCGTTGTTTCGTTAGGGACGATCAACAACATCATATATTGCTTCAAACCTTTCATCAGGTGAGATGAAATTACGGGTAAATTTACTGTTGCAAGAAATACCACGATTACTAAAGGCAGATTCTGAAGTTTCGAAATTTTGCACATAAAGGAATGTCTTTTGATATGCCAAAATAACCGGATAAAGGCGCGCTAGACGCTGTAACTTATGCAGAAACGGTGCAGTTCACTACAACAACTTGTTAAGCAATTTCTTTCTCCATCCACCTCGACACATTGGAAGCAAGTGTCTTAGAAATTGTTATGTGCTATTACAACTCACCTTCCCTGAGGGCTAAATTTGATTGGTTTGAAACAGCGCAGAGGTGGATTGGTGCACGGAGTCTCCGGCTGCAGAGATTTTCCAGGACCCTCCACGTGCGCCTCCTCGAGCGGCACGGCGAGCAGAAGGCGCGTGTCACGCAGAACACGCAGACGATGCGACTCACAGTTGTCGTCAAATATCGCCCTCAGTTGGACGTAGTTTGTGCCGCCATTCAGAGTCAAGTGGACGAGACTGCCGAGACGAAGGACTGAATCCGCTTCGCCGTCGTCTCCGAGGAATACCGCTGCGCCAATGGCGGGGCCGTTGGGTACAATGAGCCGATCTAATTACCAAGAACACAATGCTAATCTGATGCGGATTTGTAAACGAGGTGTAAAAAAGTTGGTTTTTAATATTATTCGTGAGAGAAGACAAGAGCCACACCTTGTCAAAGGTTCCGTTTTTTAGGACAAACTGGTGGTACTTTTATAGTTATGTCGCGTAAAAGTGGGCATGCATGGATTCTAAAAAAACGGTGAACTTGGCCTTTGTAGTGAGACCAAGTCCACATCCGGACCACAACAAGGTATCCAGAATAAATATTCATGACTGAAATACATGACCAAAATAACATGCGAATTACACTTGTGCTCAGAAGCATGAGCCCGTAGTTCGAATCGCAATGATCGAATCAATGAGGTTCATCAAACCCTTGCTGCTTTCCGCTCAGCGACTTCTTCTAAGGAGGATGACTCGTTGGTGTCTCCTTTGGTCATACAGAGTTTGCGTTCGGTTTGCTTTTACAAAGTTCGAATTCCCATGTTATGATGATTGAAGTGACCTCATGAGTGACATTTCAGACCGATCAGAACTCTGGTCTAGCCCCTTAAGAAGCTGCAGCCGACACGTTCTTCGCATTTACAGCATGTGCATAGCGTTCCTTGCCAATGACGCTGAAAACTATCTCGTTCAATTAAGTTTGAATAAAACTTGAAAACGAGGTGTCATGATGCCAGGTGGTTACAGAATAAGTGGTCTGGCTCAACTGGAATGAATTATTTGAATAAGCAGTTTACTTGAACACTCCTGTCATTGGTACTTTGTTCACTATAGTCTGCTATTTACACCAACAATACTAGCGACTGATCCAATGGAATAAATTTTTCCTGCATGCACACTAACGGATTCTGTAATTATTGCCATGAGAAAGTACATAGGCGCTTGTGTCTCAAATCTACGCTTCTAATGTCGTCTGATTGTTCACCCATGAGATCGGCTTGAAAAAGGTTCAGTGGGAAGAAATCAAAAGCACGAAGTGAACTGTAGCATTACTTAAAAGCTTAAGTACAAACGTTTGCAGACAGTTTAAAAATCAATTAATATAAATTTATGTAAACAAGGTGGAAACATTGCAGGAGAGAATAACAAGGGTAAGCTAAACACTGGTGTCATCTTTGGTGTTCCCAATGACCGAAAATGAATTCTGTCGACACTTTATTAAGGCGTGACCATGCACTTAGAACAGGCGGTAAGGTAAAAACCTGGAATAGCTCCCACTGCATTTAAAAATAAAGCAGAAATACACAATAAGATATCCTGAAAGATAACGATAACAATTTCATCATTGGTTCATCGTCTACTGTTTTGGACTTTTGGCTTCAAAACTTCTTTATACCAGCCAAGAGGTCCCTGGAAATGGTCGAAAATTCGATGCAAGCCTTAACTGCATTTCAGCGATGGCCTTAACAGCTAATAAAGCAGGTAAACAATATGATATTGTCTTTAAGAAGCTGAAATCAATTTACGGGGCAATCCAAGATGGATTTAACATGGATTGAATAGAAATGAAGGTATTAAATAAGAATAACGGTCAGGATCCTCCACTCACAAAGTAAGGCAGCAATCAAAGGTGCAGGTTTCACAAAGCCATGAAAGAACTATTTTGATTTGCCATTATTTTGCAGATGTAAATTATACTTTATACAGAGGAAACTCCTGGTTTAGAAAAGTTGTACATAACAAGCATGGGAAATTCAGAGAGCGCAGAGTAATTGGAGAACCTGCCACCTGGACTCACGCTTAGAAAATGCAAAGGCAGGTTTGCCGCTGTGTTGAGCAAGCAAAACTAAGCACTGTAAATGTGAGGCATTGCTTGGGACAGATATAGAATGGAAATGATGATGAATAAGGTTACTAACAACATGGAGGTCGATAGGCAATTTACATGTCCTCTTAGGGTAGAAATGTTTTCACGTGAACTGCAACTCATGAAAGTACTGCCAACTTTGAAGGGACTATTGTACTTGGCCTACAAATGGGTGAAAGGAAGTGTACACCCGATTCCACTGAAATAAGAAATAGAGTCAACGATTTAGTGTGGCTTAATCACCGTAAATGTTCAGAACATAAATAGCATGTTCAATAGCTCTAATTTTTTTTAAAATAAAGAATGTAGCAGGCCAAAGTAAATGTGATTACTGATTCCGAGAGGCGATATCACAGACCCATCGAATGCTGAGAACTTTCTCAAGCCGAATTAACATATTTGAGCCTTATGTTTTATGCACAACAAACTCGGAACACGTGATTCCGGCAGTAAAACGTTGGGCCGTTGGTTTTGTTAACAATTGTAGTTTAATTGATGAATGCAGCTAACCCAAAGCAGCCAATCAACGAAAACGCCTCTTACGGTATTACTCCTATATACACCAAAATCCCACCTGACGGAAATTAATCAGATCTGTGATTATAAATGGGGTCAAGCGGAATTTCTTAAAGCTCCTCCATCCTCACAAGAATTAATAAATGTTTGCCATCTTTGCCCATTTGTAAATATATTTTGATGATGTGCAATAATGACTTGATTTCAACCCCTCGCTAAAGTTGAGCAGGGAGTCGCTCACCGAATTTCCCAACGAAATTTAATCAGCTTTAAGTTTATGCGAGGAATGTGTGTGAAAATGAATGCAGGCGTCAACTTCACAGATTGGAAAACGTTTTGTAAAATTGCATGAAAACGACCTGACCGGCTGATTCACCGTGATGGCAGAAAACGGTACTACATGGAGTAACTAAACGGCTGTTCGCACAAACAGGTATTACCTATGCAGCAAACCTAATAGTAGAGCGCATCTGAATACACGCAGTCGTTAGATGCATGATATTGCTCTGTAAGGCATCTCTGAACTCAGCGAATGCTTTTTTTAACACGAACAAAGGTTATCTACTCTAAATTATTGCTAAACTCTCCGTGGCCGTTTTGACCTTCTTCAAACTTCCCCTTACCTAATGACAAGATTTTGCGGGTACAACTGAATAACCGAAAAGACTACTACCACAGCCCAAGAGGTAAATAACTCGGGTGGTGGTTAATTTAAAGCAAGCAGGATTGATAAATGAAACAGTTGGATTCGCAGCACCCTATTACGTTGAACTTCGTCGCGCATCTTTCACTTGACATAGAACGTTTGAACAGTGAGTCGCAAAAAGTGCAGCACAATTATAAGCATGTCCTAATTCACCGATACTCATCAGTACAGACCCGAAGCTTCATTTACAGACGCTGGCACTACTACAGTATAGGTTCTATACTCCAACACAAGCATAGTTATAAAGCATAACCCGACACCGACTTGGTCCCAATATGTTAACGCAAGTTACCTACGTATTAACCAAAGCACAGAATGGAGCAGATGCAACCAGAATCAATTACACGACCTTACAACCAAAATGTAAGATTAGGATTTGGTCAAGTGTGAGTCACTGCGTATTTTAACAAGTTTCCAGTCAGTGGCGCATAAATGACTGCACAAATGATACACCAACTTTGGCAGTTAATTACAAAGCAACCAAACAAGCTCGTACGCTTGAACTTAGTACTGGAGCATCATTGGGCACAAAATGTGCCAATTTCTTACAAAACACGCACGAGCTCCCGACTGTGCGAATCCCAGGGTGAGTCAGCCCCCCTGGTTTCAGTGCACAACGCCTGGTTCACACGAGTGCCTGCACAAAACAAAGCCAACCAAGGCAGCATCATCACACCTACACACACAAACAAACTGGTTCTCTGAGTGAGCATCTGAGCACCAAGAGCAACGGCTCAGTCGTTTTTCTCACGGTGAGACCAGTATTTGAAATTATCTTTGGGCGTAGTTCTATAATTTAAGGAACCTCGACAAATTACTAGTGGCAGAACTTCAGTCGGATGAAATTTTCGGAGATGAAGCCACTTATAACGTGGACCAAATAAGAAAAATTTACTGAGAACTGGGTGAGTTCGCAAACAAACACAAAAGCCCACAAGCGTCTTTTCAGCTACGTCCTGCGTTTTACTTAGCACAAAACAACGACTTGCTAGCTATTGCACCCTTGTAATTACAGTACAAGCAAGCGCTAATAGGCTATGTAATAAAACTTGTACCATCTTGAGCCAGGCAACTGCCCGATGATTGGTAACTAGAATGTCTATGAAAAGTACGTGCACAGCCCAACCGACATTGGACAAAAATGAGGGCCTCACTGCACAACAGGCAAGCCATACAGTGATCACCCACTGCCGCATTGTACACCGCGCGTACTACAGTGAATGTGCAACGCAAAAAATCATATGCACGCTAGGCAGTCACATAATGAGAGCCTGAACATGCTAAACGATTCGTCTCGCACCGTAATTTGTTGACCAAAGTGTGCATAAATACAATCACTCGGATATAGACCAGCACAAAGGCTACTTTGCCCATTCCACGCAACCGCGTTAATCGATAAGCATTCATCTTATCAAAGGTTTTCTTAGCTAGAAATAGATATCTACCACACAGGAAAATGAGCAAAAATATGAGTTTGTAAGGGCAGTATAATCCCAAAATCAAATGTGCTATAGCAATAATTTTGATAGAAAAGTAGTGGAAAATAGAACACAGTATAAACGGCTGTTTAGTGGCGGGAGGGCACCGAAATCTGTTAGGTGCAAGGCAAACATTTCACACTGAGGCATGGGATTAAATATCGACGGGAGGAGCGAACCTCCTTGAGCGCTGACGAATCAAATTCTGACGAAGGGCTACAGCAGCAGGATGCATGTTCGCCCCGGGCGGGGGAGGGCGATTTCGACCACGTCGCGCACCACCACCGGCACCCCCTGGTCCAAACGCCGCCCCGCTTTTGAGTGATTCCATAAGGGTGTCAATGACGTTACCGTCCTCTTCTGTGGGTTTGCGTGAAACACCACTACCCATTCCAGCTGCACGCATACGAGCCTTCTCCTCCTCCAATTTCTGCCTTTCCTCCATTATGCGTTTTTGCTTTTCTTCAAATTCACGTTGTTGGTGAATCTGTGCTGTTGCTTGCTTGAAGGCTGCAACGAATTTCTGTAGGTCCGAGAACATGCTTTCCATGCTGTACTTGGCTGGATCGAAAGCAAAGTACGTTGCAACCTCCTTGAAACGTTCCTGCATTCGCTTAAACATTTTTTCAAGCTCTTCAATTTGCTTTTTGGCTTCCGACAAGAAGTTCTTCATCGCCGTAGGAAAAGCATCGTTCGGTTCTTGGCTCGTGTACGTCCGTAGGTCGGTCTCCAAAGCAGTTGCCGAGCGTTTCATTTCTAGGAGTACCGCATTGGCTGCATCTTCGGAGAAGTGCGATGCGCGTTCAACGTAAGTTAGATCATCACAAAGACCTACGACTGTATCAGGAAAAGTTTTCTCAAGTGCCCGAATGAGAAAATGAAGAAGCGTCGACTTGCCGAGTACATCTTTAGTGTCGGTCAACTTTGGCAGGAAGGAAAGATGAAATCCAAGTGATTGGGCGTTGCGTGATCCAGCATTAAGGTAATTACCGAACAAAAGAACCATCTCAATCACTCGTACAAGATGCTTGCTTTGCTTTAGTTCTGTGAGGGCTTCAATCACCGCCACAATATCAGGCTTGATTTCATCAACTTTCTCCTGGAAACGGAGTTTGAAGAGTATAGACTTTAGTCGTGGAATGAGTTTCTTAATGGTCCCCACCTTGCAACAAAATTGCTCGGGTTCAGCGAGTTCGTTGTAATCATCCACCATTTCGACAACTTGACTTATGACCTCGGGTTCTGGTAAAGCTTTTAAAAGTTGTTCCACAATATTAGGGGTAAGAAGGGCTTCATCCACCTCCATAATGCGCCTTCGTAGCTCATCGTAAGGAACCTTAAGTGATCCAAGAAGTATTGACAAGGACTGTGCCGATTTACCGTCCAGACACCTTATCTGTTTAGCTTTTCGTGTTATTGCGGACGCACTGTAGCCCTTAGTTCCTCCATCTTCCTCTGCCGCGCCTACATTGCCATCACCATTTGCCACAACCTTTTTGGGTGGTTTTGTGTTAAAATTTTCCGTAAGCGACTGAAATAGCTCGTCAGAGGCTAGTTCGTTCTCCTGCATCTTGACCCAAACGGAATCCTCGGCTAAATCCTTTTCATTAACTTTGTCCCAATTCGCCTTCTTCATGGGTAGTTTCGGTGTGTAGACGGGCTTCGCCCTCATGCCATAGGGGAGAGGAGGTGGGGCAAATGAAGGGGCGACTGGCGGTGCCCCAGGAGGCCGAGGAATGCCCATAGCAGGCGGAGGTGGAGGCACACCAAATGGGGGCGGAGGAGGTGGAGGCACGCCAACTGGGGGCGGAGGGGGAGGAGGGGGTGGGGGTGGGGGAGGAGGGGGTGGTCCTGCTGCAGGAGGCGGCTGGGGAGCCACTGGGACCGTTGCCGCCGTTTCCCCGTTCGTACCCTCTCCGAAACCCTTCATTTCGGACTGTAGGTTTTCAAGAGCCTCTTGGGCTTTTTGCTTTTCTTGCAAGGTCTGATCAAGCTTTTTCTGTAGTTCCTGGACCTTTGCACTGTCATCACTATTCGACTGCTTACAGGCATCCAGTAATGCGTTTACCGTACCCTCGACGTCCAGTCGAAGCAGACCTGAAGCTGGATCGATATCCACACCATCGGTTTGCAAAACCACTTGACTTACTAGTTCATTAATTAGATTGTAATAGTGTTCCCGATAGGGCTCTTGTGGAACTAAAAGAAAATGCTGCAGAATAGATAAAAACGACTTTTCAGAAGATGTGTTAGCTAATGAACGCTGAAGTAGCTGGTATACTTGTTGTTGATCGGTTAAGTCAGCTTTTGCCACTTCGAAACGTTCGAATAATTCATCGGAATCTGCACTTGCGAAACGTCGGTATATACCGACATGATTGGACACATTGGGGTCGGTTGACTTTTCCAATTCACACAGCTTTTGTGCTAGTCCGAGTTTATTGAGTTCAAGTCGGAGGTGAATACGGTAGTCGAGTTCGATCGTCTCGTCCGACAATAAACGTGCCGAGGCAATGACATTGATCAACTGAAGACAGGCACAAGCGAGCTCCGGAACGGCCAACCCTTTGATTAGGGGAGCAAAACGAGGCGGATGGTTGGTTGTAAACTCTGCACTAAAAGTCAATCCTTCCATGACCTTCTGGTGGCCTTTTAGACTACACAGTGCCATGGTGGAAAGCAACTCTAGGGCACATTCCATTAGGGGAATATCATGCACATTCAAACACCGCGCTATAAAAGTCGATGCCGTCTCGTGATCAACCAAGGCATACAAACCATAACCGCAATTTCCCAGGGCTCGAATACACCTCAGACTCTGATAAGTAATCGTTGTATTTTGAGACGGTGCAAGAAATTGCAGTAGTATATTAAGTCCGTCATTTTCCTTGTCATTGAATTCCTTCACCCAACTAACACGACCATTTAAGAGGGCGATTCGGAGAGACTCAAGAGTTTTTGATATCTCCTTTTCATTGCTGAGCTGAGGATTGCTCAAATCCCTGCAGTACTGTGATGGACTGCCAACGGTTTTGGCTGCGCCGTACTTTGAGGAGGCCAACATCTTTCGTTTGAAATCGAGTGGTTTCATCAGAAGGGGAGCACGCTTCTCCCCTGTCAAATTCATATCTTCAAGCATTGACTCAAAAAGTTCATCAATTTCTTCAGCCGATAGATGCTCTAAGCTGTTGTCCTGCGAAATACGGGCACTGTAACTCGTTGCAGTGGTCGGATCATGGTTATCGGGATGGTGAAACGATGCGGGCGCGTCACGTACATGAGCCTCTCCTCCCCCATCCTTCTTTCGCAGCGAAAGCATATTCTTCAAACTCTTTTTTGCCTCTTTCTTTGATTCCCTCCTCGCATCCATAATTTATAGGAAATCTGGAAAATGGATAGGAAGTGTATTAATCGGCGTACAACGGAGTAGAGGCTGGGGGAGGGTTACAGCAGAATTGTGTAAGTTAAAACATAAGAAAACGGGTGTATGATATCAATATTCATCAATCTACAGGGAAAATAAGTAAAAACCGTAACACGAAATGGTAGTACGCGCCTCCCAATGCAAAAAAAATAAAACAGCATGCGATACTGAGCTAAATTCATTGTTCATGATGAATGCTTGCTAATTGTAGTGGTTGAAAATCCAAAACTATAAACAATTAACGAAAACCGAGCTTGGGCGGATAATAAGATAGACCTGTGTTTGCGAATTTGCACATAATACTTGAAAGCACCAAAGACTTAACAGTGATAGGACAGTAACCCGACTGCATCACACCCAGCGCTGTCCAGGTATCTGCAGATTGGAGGTAAGGTTTATTTAAGTCGCGCGTTGCATCAACCATAGAAAATTAATCCCTACGTTGGCTATGAACGTTTCATTAATATGTTTGGCATAAAAAATGTATTTGACAAGAAAGCAATGATTTCACTAGAAAATTAAATTAAAAGGGCACAACGAATGAAACTGACCATTCTACGCTTACCGATTAGTCACGATTAAAAATAAAGCCAATGACATGGTGCAGAAAATAAACATACCAGTGGACCAATAGTGGCTTTAGGTTGTTTTCCCTAATTGATTAAAGTAAGGGTCCTCAGAAAAGGAAAACAGCCAGTTTTTCAGTTTTATTGCACTCCGTTAAAGGCTGCTAGAAAATATACGTTTTTAGGCTTTTTTGGGAGGACTGTTCTCATTTAACAAATAAAAAATTGAAGAACCAAAACGACACCTCAGACACGTGATGTTTACGCTAAACAAAATCGAATTGTCCTCGATTAATGTCTTCACTAGTTTTGGCCTGCACAAAAAACCGATCTTACACCCCGAGCAGTAACTAAAAGGAACAAATTAATGTGCTTTAAATTTTGTCAAAAGCGTTGAAAGAAGTTAAGCAGACTGTAAACTTGTAAAAATCAAGGTCCTTGAATATGTATAAAGCTTCAGAGCACATTGAAAGTAGAAGCGTGGTAAAGTATAATTCTAAGCTAAATCAAAAAACCATAATTTTCGGAAGTTTGACTGTAGGTTTCAGAAAATTTTAGAAGTGCAATGGACCAACTTAGCACATGCATTTACATACGAGGAAGGGCATAACACTATACAAACAAGCATTGCAGTAGCTTAAATACAAGAATCGGTGCACACAACTTGCGCATACGCGCATAGATAATTACCTTCGAGGACATGTCATTGGAACTGCAAGGAATGAAAACGAATGTCACGTGCTATAAAATAACATGCTATCGTAATACATACAATAACATGAAACTAGATTAGCACCACTACTTTTGGTAGCTAGAAGCATTCAAGTTAAATGTACTCGGCTCAATGATTTTTAAGAATACGTAAGTTGGGTGTACTATATACCCGCACACCGTGCTCCAATAGATGCTCTGTTTGCACCAGATGCATGGGAACAGCGAGTTAGGCAAACAACTATGATTCCTGAAAAAGAGGATGACGCCCTTTTAGGCGTAGAAAAAAACAGAAAACTTGAAACCAACACATTTATTGCAGTTGATCATTAGGGTTTCCAAAATTTAAATGTTCGAGAAACTTAAAAAAGGTTTAACACAACCGATAGTAGACTTAAAATGCAAAACCGAGGACAACAAACAGGTATGATCAAAGGTTGATGGGTATCTCACAATAAATTTCCGGCAAGTTACATAAAACACATACATGATGCCAAAAAAATTCTTTTCATGATTGCTTGCACCAAATATCTGAAGAAATTAATACATTTTTGCAGCTCTGGTTTCAAATACGAAACAGAGTTGGCAAAAGCAAAAGTCCCTTGATATACATGCAATTATTTATATGTATAAGCATTTTACGTTTTAAGTGAATATGACAAGGTGCATGAAAAATCTTCAAAAGCGTATCTAAATCAGGCTAAGTACCTCTTATCCAATCAGCAAAACACGGCATAATAAAATACACACAAAAACAAAAGAACCGCTCTTTCTCGTGTTTGCACCAATGAGAGACAAGCTTGTGGCCCAAGAATTTTAAGTAATCTTCAATTTAAATGGTTGAAAAGCAATATCAAAATTAGCCAACTTGTTTAAAACACATATTTCACTTGTTTTTGGTACTAATTATTTAAGGAGTCTTAGGTAGGCTTGCTTTTTGATGACCATTCAACAATATTCTGGTATTTTGCTACTTTTAATGTAGAAACTGTCGATCCATTTCTCTTTCCAAATAATTTAGTTTTCTCTTAACTTTTTATGCCCCCTTGTAACATGGACTGAAATAATAAATACTGAGCCAAACAATTTTCACAGGCAAAATTGGTGGCAATTCTATTAAACCCTTTTCCTGCGTAGTAATTGCAAGACAGACCATTCAGAATGCAATAATTGTAGTCATATTTCAAGCACTATCCGACAACCAATCCAACAATTTTACAACTCAAGTAAACACTTAAATTTTATTTGTTTACTAGCTACTAAAATTTTATGGCTATTAATTTTTGAAAACCACATATTTAAGGCTTCTTTTTCCTTTCTACTCAAAACTTGAAACGAAATGGGAACGAAAATCCCCTTTCGATTTCAGGATGCTTTATTTCATCGTGTTTCATTAGTTAAAGCTTAACAGCACATAATGTCAATAGACCTCGGGCGTAAGATGCGTAAGGATTGTCGATCACTTCAATAGGAATATCCATATAATCAGGATTAATTTAGAGTCACATTTCACAATAAAAGGCAAAAGGAGTATAAGATTATTGTCATCTAAAAATGTGTGTTATACATGAATTGATGGTATAATCTATAAAATTGCAACCTTGGTATGTAGATTGGATGATGGACAGAATGGCTCTGGGATTGCTAGTCGAACGAAACGCGTGCGTTCCACGCGCTTGGTGCACACAGCGTGTCATTAAATAGTAGCAGCACTGTTTGCGTTGTATTGTGTTCATCACTGTTGCGGCTTCGCCTATTTAAACATTATCATGAACCATTTGTTGTGCCGAACAAAAAAATGCTTCCAGCATGATTCATTTTATTTAATTCCTTACAACTAATGTTACTTTCGCGAATACACCACATTAATCTAGCCATGCAACTTACTTTGCACATAACTACAGATTGATTATTAAGCTAAGGTGTATCGGTGCAACTCTAGTTTTCGAAGCGCTCTGGTCCATAGTATCTGAAATCTCATGAGATCACTTCCCTCGATGTAGTCGTCTCAAAATCCAGTTAGCCGAAAAAGATGATGCAGCCCTTCCTATATGATGATCATGCTAAAAAACCAACTTAACCATCTTTTGATTCATATTGTAAAATAGCCAATTTGGCGCTCACCCTTTAGTCCTAGAACAAACAACATGAAATGATAGCGGCGTCGTCTGACTAGGGGTGCGACATCCGGTTTTGTGGCGCCACGTTGACATTAAATAGCACGGGGAATTGAGAATCGATCCCCGTACGAGTTGTCCGCCTCAATTGCATGGCCTACGAACGGACCACCAGAAGAACAGAATGTACCTGAGGCGACAATGATATGGACCGTTTTCCCTCTATGGTGTTAACCCATACTGTAACCGTGCACTGATTGTATTACAGCCATCCTTTCTATCCTTCTCTCCTGTTCTCATTATGGGCTTGAAATCCACAGTAGTGAGTGACTATGACGCAGGTATATTGGAACGCGCTGGGTTTAGATGGTTTGTTGCCACAGTAAAAGCAATATACTTTGGCTTCTGGTTGAATAGGATCGCATGACATAAAGTAAATTCACTAACAGCGACGGGATTCAAGCCAACTAATATCAGGTAACAGCACATGTGAACCATTTTTAAGTTGTTCGCATGGAAATATCGCTTGCTAACACCCTTCTACTTCTTTCTAATTGCTATTCTTGCGGTGAAGCTCACCCACATCTGTTACTGCGGTGATCTTAAACTAGTCCTATTCTGGTCAGAACACGCCCACGGATTAGATTGTCCACCCTCTAATCAAATGGAACTTAGTGCTCACTACAAAAGTTCTACTTCTGTGAACTAGCTTTTGGAGGTTGACAGTAATGCCCGCAGTGGCTGATGCAAGATACTGCAGTGAATTGTGGCGATGCACGCCTATCACCTATAGGAACACCTATGATCTCTTATTCCAACGACAATTCTTATTATTCCGGTACTTGTGCACTTTTCAACACATCGAAACTATTTAAGTCTCCACCAGCCCTGACCTTCACACGTGCGTTTGCGGCGTATATGAGTACACGATTCTTGATGTAACACATGTACAAATAAAAACAGCTAAGTGCACCATCGGATAAACGGTTGTGTTCATCATTGCCCCTGGTCTTCTTAACCTTCCCTGCACAACTGCAGCCCTGTCGTTAATCGAGACTGATCACATTTCTGTCCCCCACACGGACATCTCTCAATCGCTGCATTCCTTTTCGACTTATTTAGTTAAAAATTCGATACCCCTAATCCAGGAAGTAACCAAGGTGTCCTACCACGAAAAACAAGCGAGGGCTCGATGAACAAACGTACGCTCCCCAGCGTGTAAATAAGCTCAACTGCCTGACTTATTTGAATCCCATCTAAATTAAATGAAATTTGCCATGCTTCCATTACTTTCCAGTTGTCCGAGACGTGAGATGTACGATTACCCGACTGACTGATAACCCATGTCGCCTTCCTCGGCAATGTGGCTCTCCGGTGTCAGTTCCGTAGCAGTCATATTGCTTTATCCTCACGCGAAATGAACGAGAAACAAGGACGCACGACAATAGAGACGATTATTGCTGAAAGGCGATTAAGCTGCAATCATCCAGTCAGCTGGCACAATATTGTTTGCCGATCCAGGCGCTGACAGATCGGCTGTCCTACTAATATTTAAGGAATAAATGACCAGGCCTGTACTAAGTGATACAGCCAAAACAGAAAGTAGTTTGGCTGAACAAATAAAGACCTCTGCTGTTTATTAATGATTCCAATACAATACCACAGCGTAATTTTACCATCCATAACGAGTAGGCTCCATTTGATGATGGATTTCTTTCACCTAGTATTCCAGTTAACTTACAGACGCTCATCTAAAAGCACATGAGTGCATGTGTGCCGGGTAGAGAGATAGAGTAAAAAATAAACCCTTTATTTACACCTAATTGGCTGTATTCTTTAGCTAGTTAAACTGTTCAGATAAGGGTATTACGGTGACAGGGGTTCAAACAGTGGGAACTGAACCCTCAGATTCTAAAAAGATTATAAATAAAACAAAAAACAAGAGAAAGGGAAGCGAATACCAAACCAACGCAGTTTGAGCTAAGTAATAAAACACAAAACACTGCTAGTGGATGGATGAAATGCCTTCATGTGTGAATGAGCTGTTGTTGCCTTTCCCCGTGATGATGTAGTGGTGGGCGGCCACGACGTTTGGATACTGTGCAACCGGCAGTGAACTTTTTGACGCCACCAACCACAGAGGAGGATGGCTTCACTTCACCACCATTCCGTTTACCACCGCGCCCTCTCATGACTGAAGAAACAGGACTTCTACCACGCCGCTTCCTCCTGGGCAAAGTAGGTGCGACCGTTCGGCGGCGTTTCGGAGACGCGACTAACGCAGTAATTGGTGAGAGGGGGTGTACGTCGTCTTCTACTGAGAAATCATCGGAGGTGTGGTTAATTGGGGAAGCCGATCGTCTAGCTCCGGCAAGATGAATATCTGTACATGAAAAAACGGCAGATAATGCTTCCCACCAAAAAGCAGAAAAATATAAGGCATAAAATATTGGCAGTCAAATTAAACGCCTTACTGTCACGAAGTATTCCATGGGATTTCTGAAGTTGCTCCAGTTGCTCAATCTCCTGCCTGAGGACATGTTCCTCTACAAATCAAGAGATCTAGCAAAGTGCTAAGATAGCTTTAAGAAACATGATGGTTTGGATTTTTGACTGAGGAACGTGCCAGGTGTTCCGACGATATGAGCGGAACGGCAGATTATCCACTTTTAGTTATCTTAAATCAAGTGGACGTACTGTGCAATTGACGCAATAAAGCGTTCGCTTCTGAGCAGGACAGAAAACGAAGGAGGGGCTTCAGAGGCTCCGCAACAAACCTGTAATTGAAATACAACAAACAGGTAGCCAAAAACGGCCAGTTAACACACTGTTCTTGATTTTTTACTGTATGAAACTATCGTCCTGTCTTATTCAACTTGAAAACCAATACAGGTATTGGCATTTAATAACCGAACTAAAATGCGTAAGTATAAATGCCAAGATTCGTAGCATCCAGAATGATCAGCTCCCGATATGAAAAAATTTAAGTCGATAGTTAAAAAAAGCAATGCTAGAAATTGGTTTGACCTTAAGTAAACGTAAAGTAATATACTAATGTGATAAGCATGATGTTTAAGCTGTATATTTAGAAGGACCATTCACTTACAAATAAGTAAATGGATTGTCCTCTTACTAAAACCGAGTATAGTCAAATAAGCAGTAAGAGTGTTACAGACGTCTCCTAGTACACATTTTACACTTCTAATGCCCATTATCAGGTCTTATCGAAGGGTTTAGGCTCACAATACCTACACAAATTTCCTTTAGAAACTCTATATTACAAAATCTGTTTCTAAAATGACTTACAAATTTCGTAAAAATGACACGGGAGTGCTGCTAAATTTCGTCAAGTAACTTGAAAGGGTATCTTCAGGGATTTTCATAATTATTCAAAACCTAACGTAAACGGGCCTAGTTATAACAGTACTTTTAGCTGTTTTTAACCCATTAATCCCAAATTCACACCAGACTTCGGTAATCCGTAGCTAAGCCAATGTCATTCGATGTGACTTTATAAGTGCAAAACCCACGACCGCGAATATCGGCATGTGAACTAAACAACGTGGTTTAAGTGAACACAAGTAGTAGATATTGGTATGAAATGGCAGCAAAAATACCTACAGTGGAGTGCAACAATTTGGATGAGCTTCATCTGTAGGGATACCCAAAATCTGGCGGTTTTTGGGTCCTCCTCTAAGCATGGATTGGCTTTGGAGAATGAGGGTGTCGTTGGGCTTGACAACTGATGGCAATGGTGTCAGGGAAAGACATTTCTGCGAAGAACCAATAAAGACGACAAAACCAAGCAGAATAAAATATGGAATTGGATAGGAACAGCTTACAACTTCTACTGGTGTTTTGGACGGCGGTACGTGCCTACCGTCACTATCGTTTGCTATTGTACCGATTTCTGGACTTGGAACGACCACCGTCTCAGTTTCTGGTGATGTTGCTGAGTGAACAGAACTGTCTGAAGATGCAATCCCTGAATCATGCACCGATTCTACAGACGGCGGCGGGTGCTTCACAACGTCTTCAAATGGCGAACTCCCTAGGCTACTTGTGGTTTCAGTAACACATCCAGTGCGCGTCGACCGAAACGTCCTCTGGCCGCTTCGCCGTTGACCAAATAAATTTGCTCTCCTGCGAAATGCTATGTCAGTTCCGTGGTTGTACCGGCAACGGCCAAGCGCGGTACACGCCGGAATACTACCATGGCTAACGGCCGAGACCTTGGCGATAGGCGTTGGGAGTAGCTTCGGCAGCAAATGAGTCAAAAGGTTAAGTTTTGCCACGACCACGTGACGCAGTTGCCGCTGCCGTAAGCACTCTACAAATGCGTCGATGCGAGCGACAGCCAACTCTGCAAATCAATAGATAAGTTTTCGCACGCATAAGCACAAATACGTGTAAGAGCGCGCACGCATACCCCGAAATCGGCACAACATGACGTCCCTTATATGGCCTGTGTGTTAACAAGTCTTGAAATAAATGAGAAATAAGTAATGGCGACCCTAAGATAGAACCGATATAGCTCACTGACGACATAAAAGTGCTCAAAAGTCGAAATAGGCACTAGCCAACAATTTCGTGTATTGAACAATTTTTAGTACGTTTACACTTTGTCAGAGACCAACCTCGAATCCGGCTGAACTATTTTCCAACAAAAAATACGTTAGGAAAAAATTCGCATTGGAAATTGTATGACAAAAGACAGACTGCAACTGATGAGAGCACTAAGTGCTGAAAATACAAATTACTATCATTCAAATATTTTTGCAAATTATCCTCGGGATTACATAGGTTTTATCAATCTTTGATTAACGACGTCATCCTTCTAATTCCCATAACTTCAGACAAAAAGGGCCATAACTAGTAACAGCATTTAAACAGCCGCACATTAAGAATTACATCAAAATTTGCTCAAATTTTAAAAGACATTAACAGTTCAATCCAAACAGTGCAATGACACTAACAATTGGAGCATTACTATTTCAGGTGTGTTGGCTGGTTGGCATTCACTTTGTTCCTCAGGATATCGAAATTTAGTCAACTAAATGTATATCGATGACGAGTAACATTTTTACACGCCCCAGCTATGTGAATTTACTCCTGCGATTGTTTCGCACACAAAATAGTTTTTTAAATGGTTTGTGTTTCGATTATGATATTACAATGTAATTCCAAAAAGTGCAAGTGAGAATGGCAATATGTAGGCAAACGACAACGCAAAAAAGAAGCTCCGGATTGGCTACAGCAATAAAATGGTCAACTAAACACAGCAAGCTGTAACTCCATCGTCAAGAGTGACAAAAATAATCCAAACGGTCAACTGTCTTCTAGAAGCATTATGCTACACAAATGAGCCAATATAAAAATTTTATGAGATACGATTCGGTAGTAGCCTTACCCCGAAAGAGCTCGTCCTCAAGAAAGTCGCTTCGAATGTCCACGATAGATTCCTCAGCATTGTTGTCGTATTCCTACAAAAAGTTTAAAAAACAAAATTGGAAAACTCACGCATTCGTAGTCATCTCGCTTTGGCATCAAACCCAATTGTCTGCAGGCTTCAATTGGAACCCTGGCTTGATCAACACACAAGTTGCAGAGACATTCTTCATACTGATCGCCCATGTTAATGCCTGTAACTGAGCTCTTGGACGAGCAGACACTGCTCATACGTCCCCAGATATACACCGACTCATAATGAAGGCGGCACTCAGATGGGGGAACATTGCCGAATTTCAAGGACATGTCAGCCCTGGAATACAGAACTAATCGAACAAAACATACCAGTTTCCCAGACCACATGATTCGACGCAATCCAAAAGCGACAACTCGTCTTCAATTTGCCAGGCTGGCCTTGAACAGTAAAGATTCCTCTGGAATTGAAGACAAAGAATATAGGTAAAATTACCTCCAATTTATATCTGTGAGAACGCTTGTGTTTAGCCGCTTCAGCACCCAACCGAAAACACTACACATTACAAAATCGTATCTTGTCCTTACATTAGGGCAAAGGGCAACTTTTCGACATTGTAAACACCTTATAAAAATAGGCGGGAGCCTTTTAAGACAGTAGTTGCACTTTATTTGCATACTCTGTTGCCATAGATGGACTAGACGCCCTAGACGGAGATTCACAGACTCAATGAGTCCGCCTAAGGCACAAAATTAATAAAACAAATAAAAAATTCCGTGTGGTTTTTTAGTGCACACTATTTTTGTCATCACAGTATCTTAGAAAATAAACACATTATGGCACATTAAACAACTTAAACTAATACGCAACTAGTAATACAACGTTTTTTATAATTGCAAATTCTTTTGATTTTATTTTTAGAAAATGTCAATCAAAACATAGCTACGTTTGCATCAAAAAAACAACAATAGGTGAAAAACTCATAATTTTAGTCTCCCAATTGTACATAACTTTTGCACACTTCGATAGTCGCACTTGTGCTCTGACTATGATGCTTTTGGATCAAAATTACAAGGCCCTATTTTATTTAATAATATTTGTTAAAAATAATGTGGTGAGGTCTCTTTCCTTTGTTTTGCAACTTCTTATAAAAGGATTTTCGATCAGTCATTTTACAGATTTTTTGCAGTTTGTGCTGTTAATTTTTTCGTACTTGAATTTTCTAATATTATGATCATTACCAGAGGCGATTTTATGAAGGAAATACCACCAAAACTTCTTCTTTTCCTTGATTTAGATTTAGGAAAAGCAGATTAGTGTCTGAGTTGTACGTATTAAATTTGTCAATTTGTTTTCTTCACTGCTCAACATTTATCCTTTCTTTTCTTAAAAAAATCTTAAATTATTTTAACATTGTCCAAATAATGATTTGTATACCGATACAAATGGTATTCTCAGTTGACCTTGTGCGATTGGAAGCATTTTAAGAAATCACTTTTTGAGTAATTTAAAAGAATACATTACCCTTGAGGAAACTGTCTCTTTTTAATTGATGCATTAAACTGTCGTATATCAGTGGCTGTAAGCAAAATATGATGACATCTTGTGTACGAAAACACGTTTTTTATTGACGTACAACTGGCGGCATCAATTCTTAATTGTTTTCTTTAAGAACGCACCTCAACATTTTACTCAATTTGGGTGATAAGTTTGTTGATTTTTTTGACTGGAACTTTTCGTGCGTCTAAACTCTTTTGACATATCGTAATCTCCAAAAAATTGGGAAAATTGGTTGTGCTGTATAGAAGTTATATGCCTCTGTTTTTCTTGTTTAGTTTAGCCGTAAAACTAAAACGCGCCGGCTTATCGTCTTCGTTTAAATGACATAAAGTGAACGCTACTATTTCTGGTGGTCTTAATGCAATAGGTGCTCTAGTTATCCTTATTAATACGTCAAGTACAACAAGATTTTATTGGTACAACCAGATCAGAATCTTCATGAAGGTGTATTTGGTCCGATTCCAGTTCAATGTGTGCGCCATCCATTATACAATAGCATTTAATTCTGTTATTTTATGTTCACAGCTAATTAAAACACTTTGTAGCCTCAGGTGACCTGAGCCTTTAGCGTTCTGTAAGAATATCCCAAATGAAAGCAAGTTAGTTTGGTTTAACTTAATAAAGCTGAAGTCCCAATCGGTACCACATTATAACATTTGACTGTAACTCTCGAATTTCTTCATCGGTGTGATTAAATAATATGAAATGGAAATTGTAGATATCTAAACAGACGCACTTCATAGACACCCATATTTTGGTTATTGATTATGTAACAGATAACAACCTAAATTTATCTTCTCAATTGTTTAAAAAAGAAGCTAAGGACATTATATTAAAAACGCAAACAAAATGCATTTAATATTCACTTGCGTCAAGATTACGCCCCCAGGTAACATAACTAGTACCTCCGCCTTACGTCAAAGTTTCATCAAATCGCTGTCGTCAGAGACTTTTCTAAAATCCCTAAAATAAACCATTGCCTATTTAGCTGGGTTGTTATTTTGGCTTCTATAATTTCCATGATTTCGATTCTGTACCTGTACAAATGACTTTGTGAAGTATTTTGAGATTTCCGCCAAAAATGAGTCCTGTGCGTGAAATTTAACTATAATTTGTGCGATCCCATCTCTTTTTAAACATCTTAACGCTGAACCGTAGCCTTCTCAGAGGGCATTGCTCTTTGGACATCCTCTTGACCAATGATCCACTTTCCCCCTCACTGGGCGAAATTTATTGCGAGCGTGTGCTGCCCTCCACATATGCATTAAAAAATATATTTAGTGGACTTCGTTGTACTTTGATATCTAAGGTATGCTTAATTTCTTCATGAAATGTTACACTACTCTGTGACTTGCCTAATGCAATTCACCTTACATCTGCACTACATTAACCACACTGTCTACGTGTAACCAGTGCCTTATTATTATTACCATTATTTGAAACTTGAAATAAACTGAGTAGAATTTTATCAGAGAGCAATGTCCTATGTGCATCAAAAATAAGATTGGGCATTTTCAACATTTGTTGGATATTTGTGAATTCGAATTTGTTCCATTTAGTTATTTTTTGAGATTGAGGTGAATTTCGGGTAGCAACAAAGGTCGATTTTTACGTCTAACTTCGCCATCACTTTCAAACGTGCCTAAATTTAACAAAAGAACATAATCGCCAGAAACTTTCTATGTCGGAGTATAAGTGACCAAAGCAACTTCCTTGGTCTTTTTACTATTAGCCAGTACAAAATAGAGTATGTGGCTTTAAACACTTTTGTGGTTCGTGTAGGGCTCAATTAAAGTGTCGTCTGCAGCGGAATTCAGGAGAGTCGCATAAAGTTTTGGAAACTTTGGGGTAATTAATTTAGGACTTGCATTAAACACTTTGAAAACATTACCAATTACTGTCATTCTTATCGATGTGTCTTGGCAGACGTTATGTAGACAAAGGTGCACTAATAACACCATCTGTTTACTTCACATACTGTAAATTTGTGAGTATTGCGTTTTATTTTTATATTGATGCACTATCGTTTGGTGGCATTCGTAAGAGAAAACATGCATGTTTGTAACTTCAGTTAGTCAACCCTAGGTAACTTACAAAGTTAAATAATGCCAAAAGCCTATTTAACTGCTAAGCCTGCATGCACCTCCGACAAGCGTGTCGAGTCCTAAAGTGCAAAGCTGTGTATCTCTTTCATTCCCTGTCAGGCAAAGCAGCGACAGGAGTTGCATTCAGTCTAATTGAAATTTCCTAAATGCTTTCTGTGTTGAATTTGTATTTGTTTTTATTTGCACGGCTTAACTTGCCTATGAAAGTGCAAGTGTGTGATCGACTCGAATGACAAGCACTAGCTCATTTGGTTAAGCCCCTTAGACGACACGATCAAACTTATTCTTAGGGCGGCGTAAAACCCAGTTTTCTAAGTCATAATGACTTGAATACAGAGTCGAGGACCGTGCAGTTAATCAACTTAGCCTGCCCGATTCATTTAGCCTATTTACTTACACTTCACTAACTCTGTATGAGTATAACATGACGTTTTAACAAAACTAATATTTACTTGAGACGTAACGCGTGTAATGTAGATCACTACACTACAAACAGTCCTCTTAGATCATGATTTTTAAAGAAATTTAACTTTGGTAACCAATTTATTCCACTAAATTACATGCCTACAACTAAGTACGTATACGCTAGCTCATGCACCCAACCAACCAATAATTTTTTTTCAGATGGCAGTCAACCAATTCGGCTCATCTTGACAAGTGACTGAGCACATACACCCACACTCACACAAGCAGGTTAGTGGCTCTTACCAAGGTCAGGAATTCAGTATCCGCACTTGCTAGTACACGGAAAATGCCTCGCTACAGGAGTACAAGTCCCTGCAACTCCTCGTATTCCTCCCCCCGACACCAGCAACCTCCTCTGCGTAGATCGATAGGACTAAAGCCACTCTTTGAGGAGCTTGGTTACAACTACGGCTTTGCGAGAGCCGATCCTGAGAAATACTCGAGCTACTGTTTAGTCTACCGGACTTTGCTAAGTAGACTTGAAGAAACTGGCCTAACCTGCCGAATTCGTGCTGATGAAAGTGAGATTCGACTCACAGAGCTAGAGGGCCCACTTGGAGAAAGGGACAAAGTCAAGATTTTCGCAAATGATGTAATCAGTTATTACAAATTCAATCACCGAGCAAAATTTGTTGCTATTTGCATTGACGCCAATCGCCGGAAGAAGACAGGTTTCTGGTTCCTGTGCTTTGAAAGAGAAGGTCAACTAACAGCGTTCTGTAAATATCTTAATTGGCTCTTTGGATTGGACGTCGACGATTCATACGATAGTCTGGATGAGGACAGAGTGAGTTATGTTGACCGAAGGTCGGGAAGTTCCCAGTCGTTTTCCTTGAGTCAGGTGGGAAGATTCCGCCATTATGAAGTTCCTTCCAAGGGAAGATACTTTGCAGACTCTAATGACAGTGGTTTTACGGAGACGGACAGCGGAACCTACACCTCCAGCACCTTTACCCCCCCTTTCCCCCCAGGCAGATCGTCTTACCCCAGGCACCCACCGCGCAAGCCAAGTAGTAGGAGGAATTTCAGAAAATGGTAATGCTGTTGTTTGCTACTTGTCCAGCTGATTCTTGCACTTCGCAATAACCGACTCATCTGTTCTGTTGATTGTATGGTATATTTTCCATTGCAGACACACATTTCGTTATTCGTGTAGAGGGTTTTTACAAACGTACACATTCAGGCCGAGTGGCCGGGCAAACAACACCGTGCATTGATACAATGCTGCGTCCCCTTAAATGACACTTGGTCCAGCTTTTGCTCCTATACTCTCGAATCCCAATGTAACAACATCCTGCTCAAATTCCTGTTGTAGTAATTGGGACGTGAGAATAGGGGTATATGTCGGTCAAACGTGTGAAACTCGGCTAAGTGTGAAATTAGGGCACTTGCATTCTGCGTTTCGGTAACTGGAATGTAACGATAGGGATAAGAAGTAATTTTAAATAAGTTTAGGCATATGTAAACAGTATTGTCCGATAGGTGAACTGCAATCCCTATTAGACTGACTTACTAAGGATTATCGTACTGACTTAGTCTACTGCAGTGCCCGGTAAGACATCTTTTGATTTCAGTTACCGACCCGGTGCCGCATATAGATGCATTTGAATTAATGGTTTTTCTGAAAGTCATATAGAACTTCGATCTCAAGCCCAGTAGATAGCGAAGGCGAATCAGGATACATTGTCCTCATTGTGAATAATTGTGAATGAAAAAAAAACTAATATTGTCTGATTTAAAGCATCATCAACCGAATAAGTTCGCAGTCACGGGTTAGCACGTGTCAAAAATAGTGCATAAAACCAGGTTTTGTCATTTTCTCACAAGACCCACGTTTCATTTTGTGAATTTTCTTATTTAACTGTGAAATTTACTACGATGAGGTAACGACAAACAGAGACTTAGCCTTGTTGTGCATTACCAGGTTTTTGATACCAAGAAATCACGCCAGCTTTTTAAAATCGTACCAGATTTTATTTGTAACAGTTAGCGAGGATTAACACCTTTTGGGAAAGGGATTTAGCAACGTAATGGCAAGATGGTTTGATCTAATTAACCGTAGTCCTAAACTGGTATATTAAAAAAGCAAAAACTGCATGCCATTCTTGTTTAGTTACCTTCAGCGACTTCTCGTGGACAAGCCACACAAACAGGATTAAAATCTGTTTAAATTTTTGTCAAAATGTAGTTTTTAACTCAGAAACCTCATAGTAAGTTGGGGAATAATTAATTTGTTGAGGCCTACTCGGCTTGTACACCGTGAACAAGAAAAAAGTACGCAGGGTATTATATTGAACGAAGTTCTAGGATCTCTACCAAACGGTCATGCATGAATTTGCATTAAAATGGTAGACCTTTCTCGAAATGGATAAACAAGCACTTTGTTTTCACTGATTTCAAAGGTCCCACTATTATCTGATAGTATAAATTTGCGTCCAGTCAATGTTAAAGCGATTAATTGAGCCTTCTCACTATCACACTCAACCTCTAGGCAATCGGTAGCAGAGGCTGCCACGACGCAAATGGAGGTTAGCATACAAAGTTACGCAGGTGCTCTTTTGTGCACTCATGTTAGTTTTACATCGATTAAAATTCTGACCCATTCCAGTACCAATACAATGGATTATCATTAAAAGGGCGGGTGACGTGCGCCCACTGGGTGGTCTAACTAAGGCTTGATCATACCAAAGTACATTCTACTAGCAAAAAATCAATAACAGCGGTCAAGCCGTCAAAATGCTTATTAAAATAAGTTACCGTATATAAGCATGTCACCACAGCAGTTCGGGATTTCATGGAAAATCCCATTATCTCCATCCCTCATAAGAGAGTAATTTAAATCAATTTAATCTAATTATAATTATAAGTGCTTCTCCTCTTTACAACGATCACGAAGTTCAAATTCGTGCGACAAAACCATGCCTTGAATTTATGGCAGACTAATTAAGAATGCACAAAAGGTAAATTTATTTGCTAAATGACCGAGGGTGATCTAATGGGCACAATTTGTGACAGTTATACTTGATTCAGAAAGTTGGTACGAATAATTTTGACAACGTACTCTATTCCGACCGAAGAAATGCTCGGATACTAACTAGACCATCATTGAAAAGTTTCTACAATCATATACGTGAGTGTAAGCTGCATCGGTAAAAATGCACTTTAAGCAAGCTTTTTTCTGATTGGTGATAAAGAGCCGTAACTTGACCGCCTTGTGATAAGATAGATTTACGACATTATAAACCTAAACACTGCACTTCGTCGTGTGACAGCAATGTGAATGTGTGAAGAGGTGGGCGTGTCATGAGTTCCACCTGTTTGTCTTAGCGACTGTCCCTCCGGTACTACGTTTACTCGTCAAAAGGCAAATTCTCTGAGTCATTGATGTCTGCACCTTTGACGTACAATCCGACGCTGTAGGTTAGTATAGTATCTATCACCACCTCAAAGTTTAACCCTCTAAAGTAAGATGAGTCATATTTAGTGTGGTGGCAACGGTGCAACTTGGAGCACACAAAATTAGCACCAAGACCATTTAGTTTCAATTGTGTGCATCCATTTAACCCAAGTTAACAGAATCACTAAGTCTCAGAACGCGTCGATTAGATAAGGTCTAGTTAATAACCAGGAAGTTTTTGTGTGACTTATGCTAAAGACCTCCCAATTTGTTCCGAGGGCTCTCCGTTTTTGCTAGCTCTGATATGCTGTCATCAGCACCCAATCTCCTCATAGCTTTTATTTTCGCTGAAATGCTTGTCTGAGTAATTCCCATAGTTCATAGATTAACAAGGCTTTTGATGCTCCTCAAAAGTATGCAAGTTGAGTTGGTATGCGTGTGGCAAGAGACGCCTTCGCAATTTATATTAAACAAGACGCATGCTGCTTACGGGGAGTGAGTCGGTGCGAAATGCTTGCTTTTTTCTCATCCTGTCTTTTCACGTTAACCATCTGTCTCTTAAATTCACATTTCATCTTCACTTATGCGGGGTGCGTATGTGCAGGTGTGCGTAAAACGACTCCATTTTCTGCACAGAAGGGAGACTGGCATAAACCGAACGAGCCAAAATGCTTCAGTAAAAAGGACTTCCCATCATGACAACTTTATTTTATGAAAAAAAAAACATCTTGTGTAATCCAATAAAAACGGTATGTTAAACAGGCTTTTGAGCATGGAGATAGTCTCTCTAACGTGGGTCTTCAAATTTGAGTTAGGTTGACTTTCGTACCGGTGATGTGGATGCCAGAGCCTCCACAGAGAAAGCCACGGGGGGTCGTCGCTGAGGGGAGGCTGGCTGTCCAGCCCCGCCGTCGCAGCTCGACTGGGGTGGCGGCGGTGGCGGCAGTTGAAGATTGGGTGGTGGGTGGGGCAGAGGGAGGCGAAAATTTACATCCAGTTTGAGCACGCGGGTCCAGAGCTTCGTTAAGTTACTTTTGCCTGGCTTTCGGTTCAGCGTAAAAAAGGACATGTCGTCACCGTGACGGGATCTAATGTGCAATTTGAGCGAGGATCCCTGAGTGAAGGAGGATCCGCATCCCGAACAGGAATAGGGCTTGTCACCTAAATGAGGCAAATCACAATGATAGAACCTTAAATTATACGGCTTTTGGTGTAAGCGGCGAGTTGTTTTAGCAACATAAAAAACAGGAGAGGATCGGAAACTCTTGTGAAGCGACGGCTACTTACACAGTACCAGTCGACTCCACATTTTGGCCCGCATAATTCAAACCAGTGGGTGGGTTTTGGATCACATTTTAACCCCTTCCAAACACATGGGCCAAATGCTTCACATTCGCTCTAATAAATTCCATTTTTGGGTGGACGTCAGATTCTACGAAAATGATAGACACTTCCAGCTGCCATCAGGGGTCATCATTTTTGCCGAGTGCTTAAGAAAATAATATTATTCGGTTTATACGAATAAGGTAATAATGTAACAAGGGAATAGCCCAATTTTGGCGAAATGCGTTAGAAGTACTCACAAACCCACTCCAAACCACCCGATTTAGATTTCTCCTTATTTTGACAGCATAGGAGTGCATGTTTCTATCAAATGACTTAAAGTTACTATAAAATACGTAACTCTGTTGCCAAGTGCAAGTAGAGCTAAGATAATTCAAAATCCAATCCACCCAAATCTAAGTTGTTTTATGCTAACAAGTGGCAGCCAGAGTCAAGTGGGCTATTGAAAAGTGTGCCACTGAAAAACGTTTTCACATACATAGCATTCATCAGATGTGTAAATCCTTTTTGATTTCAATGGACTTTTGAGCAAAACCTTACATGGGAGCAGCATTCGACGTGTAGTAAAGTACTTGAGCCAACTGCAACTGCCATTCCCTTGCCATAATCTCATTATGTATTCCAGACGCTAAGTTAGCTGTGGGGTGGCACGTGGGGGTGCGGTCTGTTTCCACCACCTCCAACACCGCTCGGTGCTCCAAAGTGGTTGGTGAGGCACGTTCAACCATTCACACTTACGATTAACAGAAGAGCGCACTGGGTTGAAAAGGTTGAAATGTGAAGTGAGCCGGAGACATTGCTTGATCCTAATTGGTAGTCGATTCCCTCTAGTGAAGGTCAATTCAACAGGCGGCCGCATTTTGGTATGACACTTCGTCAGAAAGATGTGTACACACCTCATGGTAATATGCACCATTGTTTTAAAGCTTGAGTTTGAATAAAACACACTGGCCGGAATTACTCTACGCCAGAAATCATCGAAATAATGAACACGGTAGCCAAATAGTGATTTTATGAGACAATAAACAATCAAACTGGGTGCTGAAATTAGTCCTTGTGCGAAAGAAAAGGCCGCTTTAAGGGCTCACATGGCAGCCAGGAATGGCCAAACTTTGACAAAAATTGTTTAAGTTGACAAAACACTGACGTCAACGGCAGGACAGGATCCGTCTTTTGTGAATCACTTGAATCTGCCAGGCCGGGACTGCATAGTCCACTCGACAGACTCCTTAGAAGACGCACACACACACACACACACACACACACGTCAAGTTAACCACTATTGGTGGTCATTGACACAGTGAGTGTGAAGTCTAGGCGAATAATTACCTCAAAACCTCATGGAATCAACATTCATAAATGCACTGTCTGAATAAATATGGTCAGAGGTGATCTTCACTGAATAACTGTCTCAGAAAAATCCTTTGCTACTAGCTGGCAGAGATATGAAGCGAAGGTACACAGAAATGGGTGCATGAAAATGGCACTAAGGTGCCTGGAGATGACGAGTCAGAGGAGTGGTAGAACAGTCTTAGAAAATCTACGTTTTGGTGCATCTGGAGAGGCAGAGGCATCCTGCATTCTCAGACTTAAGCTCAGTCGCTCGAGATGTTTGTTATTGTGTACAGCCGAGGCTGAAGAGTATTACCATTTTGAGAATTCAAGGCAGTTGAGTTATACATTAGTATAAATTTACTCGCATTTATACGCTTTCCTTCGCTTATTGTGAAAAATAGGCTGCAAAAATAGTTTCTGACACATGTTTTATCTAGTGAGGTTGTCAGCACCTGAAAAAAAATACAGCATGTTGTAATGTGGCCGCTTTGCTAGCCTACCTTCCCAAATTTCATGATGATTTGATTTCATCGATGCTAGCACTGGGATCAAAGTTAGGACTGGCTGCTCGGCGTCAACGCTCTAGCAAGACGGAGAGACAGCAGGGTGTGAGGAGCGGGGACGAAGGGCCGGGTTGCCACGTGGAGGCGAGGCCAATGACAAAAGAACATCAAAGATATTTGGGATGCGCACGCGGCATGGCGATTTTATTGGTTGGGAAATTTTGTCGACGAAAAAAGGGTGGTTAGCCATGTCAAGCGCGTGTCGCCGATCCTGCTTATCGGGGTGCCATTCGGCCTGGTTATGTAATGCACCACAATTTGCAACAATGAAGAGTCGCTCAAAACTTCGCTTATCGAGATGACAACGACTGGCGCCTCGTTGGGTGTGGCACACCTCTGCTCCATCCATAGCTAACACCATCCACTCTAGTTTGTGGGACTTCTAGAAATACCCACATTAGCATCGTGTCCTTTGAGCAAAAGTGTGCTCCAACGTGTCAGTTCTGTTCTCGCATTTTAGTTTTGTATAAATGCAAGATGTGGGAAGGTTAATTAAAGCAATTAACTGTATGTACTAGTCAAGTTTGGTTTCGCGCCAACCGACCGCTCAGAACGACGCAAGTGAAATCCAACAGGCCAGATAAAAAATTTAATGGAAAAAGAAATTCCGATCGAGGGTCTGGGCATGGATTCACGCGAAGGATTCTATCACCACTTTCGTTAGGTTCCACGGACTTTCACTCGACAACTCAATTAAGCTGTGGAAACAGTCTGAGCCATACATTACGCGAGGCACGTTAACCCAATTTCAAAACGCACGGCTTCAGTTCGACTTTGCAGATTGCGATAAAGTAAGCCATGCGACACGTTGGACCAGATACTTCCTCAAATCAGAAGGCAATTCTGTCTATTTGGCCATCCTCCTCGTGGATCAGCTCCTATTTAGGTGCAACTATTCAGGAATTCCCATTGATTGGGTTCAAGGACGCTCGTAGTAGTTACTAAATGTTGTTTCAGTACAATCGCTTATAAGTTGCTTCATAAAATTCATTTTATCTCATCACTACGGAGCCAAAACAGTGTGTCCAATTTTGAGACCTCCTCTTCTCAACGACGACAAATTATGGCAACGGGGCTCGGATTTCAAGATTCTACTTCCATTGATGCAATCTATCTCCGTTATCGAAGGAAACTGCTCTGAAACAGTAGACCACTGCCACTTTAAAGGAAGCAGAGTTTACACATCTCGAAAGCACAAGAGCCCAATGAAACTTTAATCCTACCAGGAGTTGGCTCAAAAAGGTGGTCACTTCGATGAGTGCTCTTCAAATTTGACGAAACTACTCGTTCCAATGATCGTGAGATCGGCCAAATTAGGACCGATGAAACCGGATAATATATTAAAATATTAGAAATGTTAGAACAACGCATTTCTAAATGTTTCAACTTAAAATACTTCATAAGATCCAAATATTGTAATCGACCCACAGGACAACCCTTGGAAGATAGGTACATTTCGAAGACTTAAAGAATGACCAACGGTCTTGCTCTACCCGAGAACGAAATCGGTTACTTCCTACTGGGTAGTGCGTACGTTTTACGGTGTACTGAGAAACCACAGGACCACTTGGGCTTGGAAGGCCGAAGTTATAAAAGTCTCGCCTGATAAGGTTGTAAACTATTGCTGGTCGATGCGCAAAAAAGAATGTCATCACGCGAAGTTCAGCGGTTGAGGTCACTTTGTCAAAGGTCAGAGACGTTCACTCGTGGCCAGTCAGAACATTCTCAAGCCTTTCTAGCAACATCTCGTGTGAAGCAAAACGAACGAATAATAAATCGGCAGTCATTCAGAATGAAAATAGGGTTTTGGAGGAATGTAGTCATCCCCAACCGTGATTACAATCTAGAAACTCTTTATATTGTCTCGAAGCTAAACTACAAAAAAGGAAAATGTCTGTCGACTTACCCGTGTGTGTCCGAATGTGGACGTACATGTTGCTGTAATGTCGCGTTGTGTATAGGCACAATTTACATTTGAGTATAGACTCTTCGCTGCCAGTTGCATGAGCCCTTTGTAGGTGTCGTAAAAGATTTTTTTCGAATCTAAATGCCTTTTGACACATGTGACAAGAAAGGTTTTGGTCGAGGCCAAGGGAAAGATATGTGAGAGGTGCTGGCTCTTGTGATGAAGAGCGTGGGTTCGGGGATGCCGAGTCATCGCATTCAACGGATGGATTCTTTATGGAGAGATCCAGGGCCGTAACTTCCTCTTCTGGAACTTGGCTTTCTCCTCCTGAACAGGGGAGCGGTGGGACTCCAAGCCAAGGGAATTGAAACATTTGAAATTGTGTCAGTGGGAGATGGAAACTGAATTTGAAGTTGTTCAGCTGCAGGAGATGCAAAAAATAAGTTGAGTCAACAGAGAGTGCAGGCGAAATGGAGTGTGGTCCACACGTTGATACAGAAGTCCGTTGAAAAGGCAAGAATGCCTCTCATAAGGACATAATCCGGAAGTGCAACAGCGCGAACGCGTACTGAGTAGTTAATCTTATCCGTAAGGGAGGTACACACTAGCAGTACTAATCCACCAACTAAACCACATGCATTAGTGGTTGATACTGCGATCTCTGTGCGTACACCGCGTCTCGGCATTCAAACCTGGCAGCTTGCTGGGCGTGTGCACATCCGTGCATTGTCAGGACCACCCTCCCTCCCCTTCGCTTGCTCCCCTCCAAATTAAAATTTTTGTACGCACTTTAACCACTGTGCCACCCTGCCTAAAAACCAACACGTCGCCATGACCTCCAGCTCTCTCAACCCCACCAGGATACCTCGTGTCGTAGGTTGTCTCAACAAGTTTAAAGATACTATATTTACCTGTAAGGTTTAATGCATTTAAAGTAAACTAGACGATACCTTTGCACCTACTGCTTTTGCACGCCGGACTGACGTCACTTAAAAAAACACATTAACAACTGACTTCTGATCATAGTTCTATCGCCGAATGTAACTGCAAAAGTACACTCCAATACCATTTAATCAGCATAAGGTTTTAGTTGAATAAGTCCCAGATAATGTATGACTTATGACGGTTGTCTTTGGGGTACCGCCATTAAGCAAACGTCATCCCAAAGACCTCGATAAAGCATTCTCGTTTCGAAATCAATAAAGAACCTAGTGATTAGTGTGCACCGAAATGGCTAACATCAAATCTCTAGTTAAGGACATCGTATTTTGGTGACGCTACAAATGATAGTCCGATGATTACGTCTTCGGATAAGTGCCTTGCTGTGCTTTTATTGTACACTAAAACCAAAATCGGCATTTTCATTTAGGATGAAAAAAATTTCGCAAGTATCTACTACAGAATCTTTATTTAACGGGATATATTTGACCACGTAAACCAGTAAATCGATTCCTTAGATTCATCTTTAAACGTGATTTCCTAGTTGCTATTGACAGCTAGCACTTAATGATAGTCATCTGTTCGAAGACCTTTGGATGTAAACCGCATTCGTATCAATGGACCCTAGACTTGAACTAAGACATTAGCAATATGTGGAGAAAACACGAAATAACCACTATGTAGCGTCAAATAATGAATCTAAAGACAGGAAACAGCTGCTTACTTACCCGGGCTTCCTGCCGTGCACTCATCCCTTGGACGTATTGACAAATCACTGACTAAATTGTGGCGTAAGTCAATTTAAATCAGTCTATAATGGATGTGACGATCGCGAGATCCCTGACCGCCCACAGGTGTCAATGTCAAAGGCCACGCCGCCTGCACCCAATCATTGTGTGGGTGATATTTATGGGCCAATCAAATATGAAGATCGGGTTTGGAAGGGAGAGGAGATGGACCAATCGGTTGAGGAAACAAGTTTCGTTAATTCAGGCAGCGGGCGCACACGCGCGATGAGTCAATTGGCTAACCCCTATTGAGGAACAAATTTGAGCGCAAATCGGAAAATTGAGATTCTGGATAACATTTTTTTCGGACCAGAATAATGAGTAAATTAGTAAAAGGATAAGGTTAATGTACTGAGAGTTCTTTTTCAATTTATTGGTTTGCTGTGAGCATTTTTCACCACTACATTAAATCGAAAACTAGGTATTATATTAATTAATAGATTAGTGGAAAAGCGTCTGTTCTACAGGCGAAATAACAAGTCTAAATTTAAAGGCTTTTTCATTCTGGCTTGTCTTGTTGGGTATTTTTTAGCATTTGTAGAACAGTAGGAACGATTATCGGAATTTATCCCCTCTAAATCCCTTATTTCGTGTGTGTGTGTGTGTGTGCGTGTGTGTGTCGAAAATCGCTTCTTTGGCTTGATATTATCAAGCCGACAATCAACAATGTGATCGAATTATAACCGAAGACACTGCGAAGTGATGGATCGGGAGTTGCATAAAAGGATGAATTCACTTCGTGATTTTCAATTACAATTCATAAAATGATAAGTATTCCACATTGCATGGAACGCTATACCTAATACAACGCAGCCCATTTCAGAAAAACAACACAAATATAACGATATCAAATATGGTAAAGGCGTCTTTTCTCCCGTGTGATTATCGCACCGTGAGCTTCGGAGGCGGGTGGCACTAGCGCACACGCACGCAAACCGTCGGACCCCTGAGCGCGCAACCCCCCCCCCACCCCCCGCCCTCCCCCTGCAATTAGCATGCCCCGTTGCGTCCGCCTGTGTGAAACACTGTGGTAGCGGAAGATGACAATGCCTTCTCTGACACCCTGAATTCAGAGCCATCGATCACCCAAGAAGGAACTCGTTAAACCAGCCATTTACATGGTTCCTCAAATTAGGATTTGTTCAATGATAATACATTTCTCATTAGCCGACTATTTGGGCATGATGCGGAGACTGCTTCACCAGAAAGAGCCAAATTATGTGAACCACCTTCCACTGTAATCCAATTGTCCAATAGAATGTTTAAAATTCACCATAGTAACCAACTCGAACTAGGAATTTGATAGTAAACGACGTTGGACTACTTCAACAGAGGTTACTGTGTCAATAATGTGATCCGCTATTTGTCTGCTTTAAGAATTCAACGGTTAATTGGTTACATGTTTTATCAAAAAATGTGGCGTGTCTCCAGGCAGTAAAGTAGAATAGGCCTGTAGGTATGAAATACATCTATTTGACTGTAGTAGTGTAAGTGCTTAAAATCCAACGATAATTAGTGCGATGGTTCATTTAACTAACTTCGACGTACTAACAGCATTGCTTTAACGAACTATCCACGTTTTCGCCTTTACTCAAACCTAAGGCTTCTCGCAATCAAGTAAGACGTGTAGGTAAGGTGCATAGGCAATTGCTCACCTAATTCGCTATACTGTAGGTTAATATCATAATGCCAAATAGACTGGCAAGGTTCATGTGTGAGAGAATCGTTAAAGGCAGCCATGTTTTTGTGTGATTTGAAGAGGTTAGAAAATTGCATTAGTATGTGGCCTCTTAATAGCGGTTTGTATTACTTAATAGGTTAGTGCGTCCAGTCCAATTGCTCGTGGCCTGTCAAAACTTGGAGGTGCTTCGAACTAAGTATTTATTCTTAGATTGATGGTACAACCAGTATTTTGCAGGAATAATGTAGCCACGTAAGATCACTTACAAAAAATTAAGGCAATGCACATATAAACTTGCACTCTGTTTCATGAATTATATTTTTGGTATGGCACTAGAATGTGCTTCGAAACACGAAATCTCTGGTTATATTTGGCATTAATAATGTCATTTGCGGTTGTGTAGTAGCAAGTCACTCGCCAAGTTGTTGATCTGCACTCTTGAATGGCGCACGCTAATTACACAGGAAGCACCTCTGTTGCAGTCACACAGTAATTTTTCTCGTGCCATGTTTAGTTGAAGTACTCGCAATTTTGGTAGTATGCGTGGTGTAAGCAGATTCACATTTGGCTTGGAGACACGCTATGAGGCCTCGGATGCTCAAGTGAACGTGCCACTTGGTCGCATGCCTGTAAAGGTGTCCGAGGTTTGAGCCAATGGAACACAGTGCGACGCCTCCAATGACCGGCACTGGCGTCGAGTCGACGAATGGACAGCTTCGGTTGTTGTGACCTACAGCAACCATCTGTTTATTCATTTGACCTCCGAAGGCCTAGAGCAGAACTTCTGTCTCAGACTCTTTCCTCGGTGTAATGTCCATTTCGGCTAAAACAAGAACATGTGCCCACAACAGGAAGACCTCTCCAACCTCTGGAGTTCATTCAGTTAGATAACCCAGCCAAAGTGCCTACTGGAGACCAAAACTGCTGCCCTAATCCGAAGCAAAATACTACTGATGGCCGTTTATTTAAAACGGAAATTGTAAAACCATAGCCGTCAATGCTTAAAATTAGCCGATTCTAAACAGCGCAGAGATAGTCTGACAACTGCTTCTCAATGCATGGATGCTCGCTCACAGGACACGCCACGACAATTACCGCTGTGTTGTTCAAGGCAAAGCCCTGAGAGGGGGGCTGATTCCACAGTTTATTGAAGCAACAAGAGATGTCATTCACCTCTCCAATATTACTGTAGGTTGACCTTAGCTTCGGCTAAAGCGCAAGGCGGAGGAATGTTTCATGATCTATGTGCTTTTACGAGTGTGCTGGATGCCATCGTTCTATGCTTCAAATTCCACACAGAGTCTGTGCTTCTAGGAAGCTGAGAAGGAGCTTTTTAGTGGATGCTCTGTGGAACCAGAAGGAGGTTCTGCTTTGAGGAAAACCGCGAGGGCAACAATCACGTCACCAAAATTGTGCAACAGGCTATGGTTTCACGTTTGACAAGTGTGTCGAATGGAGAAGGCTCCATTTTATCTGATAGACCTTAAGTGTTGCCGAATAAAAATAGGGGCAAACTTTTAGCATTTATTTGACAAAATTGTGAAGCATACTAGTGGAAACACCGACTTATATCTTCCATGTTATTAAGAAATTGCCAGAGCCCATGGCGCAATATTGCCTAGTATAGAATACTAATTTATCTACATCCATTTCTCCTAGGTTTACGAAATTTATTTGTCGACACATCATCCGGACGAACAATTTTCTCCTTAACCAGGTTCGCACCTGTGTGTTGCGGTTTAACGGGAACGAACATCACTGTTGCTCACTTTGAAATATGAATTATACGGCCACCGTAGGATTCGCCCCCACGGGCATCGTGCGAACTGCGAGGTGGCGAAATTGGTGGGACATTTTTCACCGGGACCGGTGTTGCGGTTCAATAACATCGCACGGTAATTGCTAGAAGGCGTCGACACGAATGCCGCTCGATGTCTACAAGGTGTTAGCGAATATTGCTTTAGGATCAACTGATGTCAGAATGAATTGAGTAAAAAACCTGATATCGAGAATTGAGACATTGTTACACCTCTGTTACAAAGTCTAAACCATTTATTATGGCTGAAACCTTCTCACGTGTGCTCGCATAAATTTGATTGTTTGGCAGGGAAACATTGAGGTGGTGGCTTGTGTTCTGCCGGATCGGCATGGGCGGCATGATGTGTAAGGCGCGTTAGTCATCCGGATTGGAATAGTCTAATGATATTAGAACCCTTTGCAATAGCAGATCTTGTGAAATGCTATATAAGCACTTACATGTATTCGGCTTGAGCAGCTTTCCTTGGCGTGATTCACCTATCTGGTAGCTAATTTCAGACATCTTAAAGTGTGGTAAATTCAAATGTTCAAATTCAATTTGAATTTTCTTTATTTATAAATTGGCCAGCATGCTTGATCTCAGGAAAATATCACCTGCTTAAATCTGAAGAAATTGGCTAGTTTGAGAAAAGCCCGAGGCATCATCATTTCGTGTTCAGTAAGACAAGAGACTTCAGACAATGTCGTCCCCTCCTGCCCAGCACCCCTCAGCCTCATCCGCGCACATCTTCCAGTGGCCATATGCACGAAGTAATGACAAATAAGTATATGATGGCAATTAAAAATCTAGTTATTTGCGTGACTTGTGGTGCGCCTAATGCATCCATCGCCTCTCCATTTCATACCCGTGGCAGAGAGGAGTGAATGAGACTGTAGCGGCTTTTCGGTAGCCTGGGTGTGTTGGGCATGTGGGTTGGGGCTGGGGAGTGACCACTCAGACACGCAAAGCCGGGGAGCAAGTAGGTTTGGGCAGTAAGTAATATGGGGAAGACAGTTGCGTGCAGTAGACTTGTTGAGGGCTCATGTGGACCACGCCTCAATCCAGATTCATTTTTTAATCCGCAGCCATCTCGAAGGTATTTCTTGTTATACATCAGGCATTCCAACTTGAAAATAGTGACGATCCAAGTGAACAAGCATCCACGATCTTCCTTGTACTTATCTCATGGACCGAAACAGGCGGCTGCTGTATTTGGGGCAAAATCGACTCACTGAAGTGGACAAGGAAAGCTGTGCTCTGTTGCCCACTTGGACAAAGCACCGAAAAAGCGTGAGCTGGATTTCTACTTAATCGTTCGCATCTGGTCATAGTTGCTGCTGCTGCGTCAATCCAATAACTCAAATGTGTAGGTTATTCGATGTAATGTTGCATACTTTAGAAATGCAACAGATTATACCACTGAGGCAACTTGCTTTGAGATATACCGTAAACAAATGTTCTCTAACTAGTTGCTACTAACTACATATAATAATTTTCACAACTACAGTGCTTGTTTATATGGGAAAACTAATAAAAGTGTCAAATAGTACAATGGTCGGTCTTAAATAGTCGAATTGTATAATAATGGAACATTTCAAATAGTTAAAATGAAGTAAAGGTATCTGGTATTGAATTCATTTTACCACTCTAATGTCACAATAGTGCGCATGAAGTTACGAAATTTACATGAGCATCAAACATGCGACCCGAAGGAGAGAAAAGTACTATTAAAACATGCGATGCCTCGCGTGACCCCGTATTGCACGTTTTAGTGCTACTCTAGATTTGCTCTTTACCAAATGCATTCCATGATATGTACTTGGACCGGGTCAGGTATAAACAGTTCACTACGTAACAACCAAACAGTAGCACTTTGGATGCGATCAAATCTAACTCCTTCAGAATCACAAAACTGCTTTCATTAAAATGAGGCAGCGTGTCAGAAGCAAGGTTGATTCACGGACAGGAGGGGTCGAGTTGCTGAAGTCAAACATAGAAGCGACCCAAGAACAAATCGGACATTTGGGAAGTTGGAAACAAGTTTTCTTAAAAGGAACTTCACAATGCTGTGGATTGGCTACATCTGTGGTCCTCCTTACTTTCAAGGGATAAAAAAACACAGAAGAGTGACCTCCAAGGGTATTACTATAAAATAATTTTCAAAAAATTTTGGGAAACGTGAGCTCAGCCAGGGCTGCATTGCTATTAGGATTGCACTGATGACGACGGCGATGACAGGACCAATGTGTCAAGAGAAGACGCATTAACTTTGCTGTGTTGTTACGTGGGACACTTGTAGCACACAGGTCTTTAGCCTTTTAGAATGGCAGATGAGGCTGGTGAGTTGAGAGGAGGGTGAGTTAAAATTAGGCCAGCATTGGAGACGACAGCGGGGCTGAATCACATTGCTTGGGCCTGTGCGGATTTACGGCAGTTTGGCAATTTCGCGTCTGGATTAGTATGCACGCGTTGGTCACTATTATATCCAACAAAATCCTACCCAATATATGCACATAAACGAAAACGCTGTTAAGGGGATTATGGGCTCTCACTCTGAGTAACGAGGGATAAGTGACTGCACAAATACGGGAATTTCGTTTATGCAAAAACGAAACCTGCTAGGCACTTGTGCCAGTTAAAATTGCGAAGAATGTACCGCCTTTCATTCCTTCATAAGCGACACTTCATGCTTAAATGATGACACAACTTCAGTCAACACTGACTTTCACTATTGAAGGGCTGGAATTCATCGGCACGTTCACTTGTAACTCCTTGAAGTGTAAACAACTCATCTTTGATTGCAGCAGTTTGTGGACTTCTTTTCTGAAACTTTTGTCATCAAGTTATAAATGAACCGAGACGATTACAACAACGAATATGTGCTTGCTAAAGTTTCACCTGGTACAAAAAGAGGAGTTTGCTGTTTAAATGCACAACTACTCACAAAAAAGAGTAAATATGTTGGTTGGTTGTAGCAATTGAAAAATTCCCCGAAAAGGAAGCATTCATGGCTGTTGGGAATAGGCAGACCTCATCAAGTGGGTGATTTAAAAAACACCAGGACCACTATGCTTTGTGTGCTAATAATGTCATATCCCGCAAGATGGCGAATAAATGTCACAGCTAGAAACAACCTCGCTTTTTTGCCAAACATAATGAGATTTTAAGAGAGACAGTACATGAAGCGGCCCACGTACACGTTAAGATTAATAAGGAAAATTAGAATAGACTTTCACATATTAATGTCCTACCTTGATTTAAACAAACTTCCAGTCTCGGGCGATTTTAAAGTAACGAGAACATTTCATAATTTCCCAAATTGTCAAATGGGTGAACGCCGTCGCCTGTCAGCGCTTCACTGCTGGCGCCCGGATGTTGCTGTAAGTGCACACTTGTCGCCGCAATCTACTCATGACCTCATTCAGTGTTTATGTACCGCCCCCCTGCTAGTCCACCTGTGTATGAAGTCCCTCAGGACAGCCATTTGGTTGAACACCGCTATAGGGCCTCATCGTTTGTCCACCCACCCCTTTTACGCACACACATAACTTGACCCAGCTCTATCCAGCGGCTAAGTCAACAGGTGAGTTCACATCGCCTCTGACCTTCTCTCTACCCTACTGAAGGTAGTCGCAACTGGCCATCCAGTTCTGCAATCACAGGTACTAATGTCAACTTACTCCCTTTTCGGGCCAAACGCTATCGATCGCTTGTCCTCAGTTCTAGAAACGATTTCAAGGAGCCAACAGTGCCATTCAGCGCCACACATATACACCTTAACTGACAAAGTGGCCTGCCCACCGACAATAGTGATACCCGACCCCTGTGAAGATTAACCATGCAACTATCTTAAATTCAACCTCTTAGCACGCACCCAAAAGTACGGATATCACTCGACCTTTATCACAAGGCGAATGCCAGATCTCAAACTAGGGTTAGCTTTGGACTAGATCAACCACCAACGTCGGCAGTCAAACGAATCTCAGAATTCAGCATCGCACTTTTATCAGCTAGACCACTCCAGCGGCCTACTTCGCGGGCATTATGGACCAGATTAGCCTCAACCAATACCATCAATTTTGACCCTGTGGAGGGACTTCCAGCAATTCCACGACCTTCCATTCGCCACTTCTCACTGGGGATTCATTTGTACATGCGTCGATGCATGCGAAGCAGCAAAATGCGAGGAACTGACCTCAGCAACACCCAGCTGCCTTTTGTCACATTGGTTTCATCGACTTCTAGGAAACTAATATTCTATGGCATGTTTCCCGCACCAACAGCTTCTTGAATGAAGAGGTGTGAGATAGACCGCCAAATTTTGTTGAAACATGCTTTGCCAGGCGACAACTCAGACCGCAGAGGCAGATTCAATTTGTGCAACAGGCAACCATCCGCGTACACTGCCCACCAGCTAGCAGCTCGACTCTGACCTCTCCTGGCTCTCGAGCAATCGAGGATTTACAATTCGGACAACTGGCCACATTGCACTGACTCAATTATTTCCGGCTAGGGTTTGTAAACACTCTGCCTCTTCGCGTATTGACGGCATCATATAAGTTCGACTAGAAGGCTGCAAGATAATTTAGAACACTGAAGCTACAGCAAATTGGAAAAGGACATCAAATGGAAAAGTATATCTTCTGTAAAAGAAGCGATTTTCACACGTAAAGTAGCATTGTGGTGGAGCAGATGAAGACGTAAATATCGAAGGGAATCAACTGCATTCTGAACAGCCATTTCAGGTGGCAATGATTCATTGTGCACCATCTGAACCTGAAGACATGCCATTTCGCATTTTGTTCGTTTCAGTCCCTTGAATTTACCTCACTTCTTCATTTGTGTGTGCGCCTACAGCTCAAAACGTCAACTAGTCGTTTTAAATGAAGCTGGGTCAACGAGATCAAGTTAAAGATATGTAAAATCTTACAAAAAATGCTAATCAAACCTCTTTGAAATTGCCATGATATTCCTACCCTGAAGCCCTGCCATAATTTGAACCCGAAGGAAATTTCGGAACGAAAAGGGAAACTTTCAATACAAATCCATTGCTCAAATAACACAACGCCCCAATTCATGGCGTCCCCAACAGCTCCAGGATGAGGTCGAGAGCCGAACAAGGGTTTGGCGGTTCCCTTGAATGCAGCCCAATCCTCCTGGTCAGTTGGGCTTTCGTCACCCCTTTAATCGAACAGGTGTGGGGCCTGCAGAGGGGCGGTTGCACTGAGCGTCTGGTGGGATCTCCAGCAGTCATTCGGCGTGAAGCGCTAAAGTGATGCATTAGGCTAATTTCAGACAAAGTTGCAATAATGCTGGCGCTGCTGTAAGGCTGCGCCTAAATTAGGGCAACCACCTCAAAGCTTCCACGAATTTTTGCATTTCAGTTTTTCAATTTATTCCAATGCTTCCTTCAGGTCTTGCTTGGGTCAAATAGGTCATGACGCCTGTCACCACACAATTAAGCAACATCCTCACGTTTTGCCTTGTTCGCCTTGACTGAAAACAAAGACGGTTATTATATGCATCATATAATTCATTAAGAAGTTGGGTTCAAATGATAAAAATAGGTGTATTCGAAAACTGGTAGCATTCAATTTGGCTAGGCACCATCGGTGCTGAGATGCGGCTTTTAGTAAAGAGAGTGACAGCACATTCCTAGACTTGTCCTCGCATTTCGAAAAGCTAGACAATGCTTTCGGGCAGTCATCTTCACCCAATAAATGCATTCGCCCATCGAACAACCAAACCTGTGCAATCTTGGAACACTGAGCGTGATACGGGAGTGAGGCTTTGTGGCAACACTCACCACAACCTACAAATCTCGTGCGTTTGCTTCCTTGCTGCTTGAGTTTCGTTGCTTTCCTTAAAGAGATTTTGCTGTAACAGGAGTTCGTGGGGACACAGAAATTGGTGTATAATACAAACGAAAAGTTCTAACTGAGTTCAGGTCGAGGAATAAACGGTGACTAAAAGGTCTCTCTACGGCAATTAAAAAGGCACTAAAATCGGAAATATAAGGAAAACTGCACCGATCTAAAGCGGAGACGCAAAACTTCGATTTGTGTTGGCTTTTCACGCACGTTATGGGAACGCACGGTTACAATAAAGACGAGTCCAATAAAAGCACGTTGTTTAGACTTTTTAGTAAAAACGCTGGACTTCGATCGGGATTTGACAGCTGATTTAAACGAGCACACTGTTGTGTGTTAAACTGATAGAGTGAGTGCACAGACGCGATTCTGCCGTCACCATGCTCTCCTCAGATTCACTGGGCTCCAGTGACCTTTAGAAGTTGGGTGTGGCGGTGTGGCGTGCTCCGCTATCCACGTGCACCCAGAGATCCAGCGAATACGGCAGGGTTGCGGCGTATTTAACATTCACTACCGCTAACCACCTTCAATGGTTTAGTTAGAAACTACCAAGCGAATTTGGCAGGGTTGCGGCGTATTTAACATCCACTACCGCTAACCACCTCCAATGGTTTAGTTAGAAACTACCAAGCACTCATTCAACTCATTTGTAGGTACCTATTTAAACTGCTGAATGATTATAACAATCTCATTCTATTCATGATACACTTTGTTTTAGTGCTAACACAACTAACGTATTAACACTAATTTGGCATCGAAATTGCAAGATACATGTAGTAGCCTTAATTGCCTTCATATTTTTTCCCACCAATGCCTAATTACAAAAGCACAACCAAGGTCGCAGAAAACGAACGTTTTGGCCTCGACTACGACAGTGTGGAGTTAATGAGGAGGTTTAATTAAGAGGTTATTTAAACCGAACAGTCCACAAGCGGGAGTTCCAGGTAAGAAAACTAGGCGCTCGTGCCCCAAATAACTGCTAAAAGATTACGAAAACGAATTGCCTTGTCACACGATCACAGCCCATTGTATTACTCACCGGAGTGTGCACCACACACACACACACACACACACACACACACAAACGTCAAAGCACCGACGTCAGCAGTTGAAGAGGCGCCTTCGTCGCGCAAACACACCAACCACACACGGCGACACCAGCGCAGCCGCCGTGGAGGCGGGCGACGCGTCTGGCACAGCCGCTCAGGCTGTGGGCTGTGCACACGTGCTTGCCAAGAGTACTTAAGTAAACAAAGCGGGTCACTTACGATCAGGGGACTGAGCGCACGGGTGAGTGACTAGAGGGGGCTGTAGACGCACAATTGGGAAACACGTAAACACTGAACGAGGTGGTAACAAGTGTAAACTTGCAAAATTTAATACAAGCGACTTGTCATTGATGTAGACTGTGAATATAAATCTAGCGTTAACAGTACACTTATGACAGAGTTCGACCGAAAAATAACGAATTAAATTAACTCTACTCAGTAGTAGTTATAGTCCCAAGGTGCTTTTTTTGCTTTATACCCAATGTAATCCTTCACTTTCAGTCATGAACCAACAAACTGCCACTTGAGGGTAATCCTTTTCGCGGTTAGAACTGTTATGTACCATTTTCCTACTCTAATTGCCCAAATTTCTCCTGATTATATGAGTTCTCAGAAGTGAGTTCCCATTAGTGAGGTCGGAGGGCATCGCCACGCCTCAACACTTGCAGTTATTGGAACCTGCATAATCTTGTACCTACCTCTTGTTAAACAATGAAAAAGGATTTCCAAAAACCTGACGAGTATTGCTACTGATTTAAACTAGTAGGACACCCACAACATGAATTTTTTGCTTTTGGGTAAAGAACACGTCTATTACCTGTAATACATTTTGATGAAATTCAAAATTGACGAACACAACTGCGATCAGGCTAGTGTCAACTCGTCCGTAGAAATCGCTTTCATAAAAGATGAAAAATCAACAAAAGCGACTTTCAAATAAATCGCCACTTTTAAATGTTCAAACCCAAATATGATTACAAATAAGGTGGAATGCGCATAAAGGAACCACATAGGTATAATACCCCTGTTGATCTGAGTTGTTTACTTGTGAAGGCTGTGTGGTAAAATTTGTTGTTTTTAATTAGCATCCCAGCAGGCCTGTTAGATCACCGATTAAAACAGTTAAATCGTTTAGCCACTTGACACATCATCCATGTCGAGAGACACGAACGTAAGAAGAAAACGATGGTTGGCGGTGATCGTTCACGCGGTAGAACCGTGGTTTCCACCACAGAAAAGCCCCGCTGCAGCTTCCTCACCACAGCTGCCGTGAAGCAGGTCCTCTGTTGATGGCGGCTGATTCAAAGCAGCGGCACTAGGATCAGGTGCTTGGCAGGATTTCGCAGCCTGGAGGCGAGTGATCGGAACAAAAGCCCAGGTAAAACGACTGCTTTTGACAATATTCATGCCAGACTTCCGCTAGTCATATGGATAATGCGAATACTGATGGCAGGTCAAGCCGAAATTCCTTGTCCAGATCAAATCGAATTTGAGAATGAAACATCACTGAAGCGCTTGGTGAAGAACGCAATTGGTTCCTTTTCCCTGGACAACTCTTCGCGTGCCATGCTTACCTCCTTTTCAGTGCTTGTTGTAACTTGGCATCAACCCTTTGGCATTGAAGGACAAAGATAGTCCCAAAACTTTTAACATCCCCGTTAAAGTAACAGTTCAGATTACTGGCTATGCAAGAAATATGAGAAACGTTACAATAATATTGCTTTTTGCATTTCCGGTGCAGGAGTCCTGCGCATTTCGATAAGCGAAAACGCAAACCAAACGCTTCGGCACCTTTAGAGTGGGAAAAAAGAGCGAACAATAGCTCATTCGGAGGGTGAGATCGAGAGCAGTTGCTAGACTTTGTGGTCCTCGAAGTTCACATGATACCTACTGTCAACAGAGTGGGGTGGAGTTTTTTTTCGGTGGTGTTTCAATGACTTACGACCGGTCATATTTAGCCAATCAAATTATACTACTTAATTGTTGTTAATTTTATCTGGGAAAAGGATAGTTGAGGCAAAAAAATGTATCTCCCAATACCACTAAGTCGATCTTGCGGGTAAACAATGAATTGCAGAGGGACAGGGAATGTCTGCTTCCTGCTTGGCGTGAAGTGACTCACATTGCGGCACTGCTCAAGGCCCAATCCGACCGCTTGAAGTCAATCGTGGTCACGGTGTCTGCTGGAGCATGAAGAAGGCTGGCACAACGGAACAGGTTTTCCGAACAATCGCAAGCCAGAATCACACGTCAGGCGCCGTCCATCCGAGTCCACCACGCTGACTACACCGCTCATTATATACCACTTCTCTAACGTGTCTGTTTCTGGTTGGCTGTATATCTTCTCGCATGCCATTGGAACGCAAAGAGACAGAGAATTGGCTGAGGCCAGCGTGGTCCAAAATGTACGCGCCCTTATACGTCGCTACGCTACACTGCCTTTGACGCATTAAATGCTGATGTCTGCAAATGTACGCATAAATTGGTTCTTTTTGCTAGCAGTGTGCGTTAGTGAGTTTGCCCATGGTGATTTAGCGTGTGATCTCACGCGGAGCACAGAGGGTAGCCGCGAAAAGTGACAGGGAGTACAGCTACCTTCGTGTTGCTGGGCTGTAATGAAACGGCAATGTGTGTTCAGTTCTCACTCCTACCCGCATGGATTTATTTGCGGTTTATGACTTCGCAACGGAGGAGCGTGATCTGTCGAGAGCAACCACGGCAGAGCGGTTGAGCGAACACGGGGTGTACGTGATCAATAAAGGGCGTATGGGTTGCATGGCGAGCTTTTAAAATGGAACATCTGGCTATAACGGGAAGGCAACGAATTTTGGTGTTTTTTTTATTAAGAAAAGGCCAACCCACCGATTTTGTTGGGAATGTCAACATTCCTCAAAGGCAAATTAATTAACTAGCGCTGAGATTTGTGACGAGATTTTAGTGTGAACACCGAAACGCGTGACTCTGGAGTAGGATTGTGTGAAGAGAACCAAGTGAATGGAAATCGGGAATTTCACCGTTAATTAAGTTGTCTTGCGAAATCTTGATATCCTCAGCAGTTTAGATGAGGAATCAGAGTTTTTGGGCTTGTAGGGTACATTAGTGGTGAAACGTTTATATTGTAAAACAGAAATTTTGTTTTTCTTTACACAACACCGTCCCCCTTTCCCATGTTTTCATTTTGACGAACCAGGTGGTTTGGAAAAAGGCTTAGCAAAAGGAGTAGTGGTACCGATAGGAATTTATAAATTCACCTCATTACACCCTGTCCGTTTGAATGAATGGTGCTCAATGTTTCAAGGGGATTGTGTGGTAATTCGTGATGTGACTCGAAACATTTGATATTGCTTGACCAGGTTGATTTCACTTCGAACTGCTTGCTTAACCCCAGAGGGATGGAAAAAAACAAGGCCCAGTGAACCGGACACGACGGCCAATTCGTCACACCAGGCATAAGTGGTGGCAGCGGCAAGTGTGCGTGGGCTTGTGCAATAAAAAACAGAGAGGACCTGCTGCGTGTATTAACCAATGACCGGTTAAAGTGGTGTCACATCTACTAGTTACCTGCAGGCAAACCTGTTCAGGCATTCTCATTCCGGTAAGCCACAATACCAAGATTTAAGCTTACTGTTTAAATAAATTTAAATTTTAAAGCCGAGACTGAGTGAGAATTGGACAGCAAGACAGTTCAGAGTTGTGAGAATCTTTAAAAACCGTTGACTACTTCCAAACGTGAAATGCACGTAAACCCAGAACGGAAAAACCAATGTCGCGAACAGCATGATAGATGAGGCCAGATTCCTTTTAACTGGAGTTTGGAGACGCACATAACTGCAGGTAAGAAGCTGTGTGTCTGCGAGACTAAGGGTCACAGGTCACTACTTATTTCCAATTTCATCGTGCATATGCGACGAGATCCGTTTGAGGTGCCCAGAAAAAAACACAAGCACGTAAATAGGTCACAAAACACTTAAAGGAGAAACAGGGATACTTGGATTGTATCCATTACCTCAATAATGAGACATTCGAGTGGTTTACTGCTCTTAAAGTGAAGGACACCGGAAAATGTAGTTTTCACATTTGAAAGAGATTCAGATCGACACAGTTAGTCATGGTCCAATTTCTACATGTAGATATGAACGGCGCACTCTGCGAGGCGATATTTTGCCAAACACCGCTGCTCAGGGTGTTGCAGTTGTTCTTGGATGGGGAAAATACGTGACCTCTACCTCAAGTGTTTGACTGTACTATTTAAAAATGTGAGCAAATGTATATTTATTTGAATGGAGAGTTACCGAAAAAAAGGACAGTGAAAGAGGTCCATTCAGGAATCTGCACGTTACTTTCAATGCACATTTTATGTTGTTCCATAGTTGTGCTAGAAGGCGCATACCAACAACCCTCAACTTGGCACGATCATAACAGAGCGCCGTCTAGGCCATGGCATGAACAGCAGCCTCGAGAATAGCGAAGAGAACAAAGAAGTGTGTCGGCGGGGAATCGCTTCGGTAGAAGCGCACTAGTTTGATCCACACCGGGGCCTTTCAAGCCAACAAGCGACAAAACCTCGCCCGTGGATGACGCGCACGCACTCACACCGCTGTTGCGGCGGACAGGACGTGTTTCAAGTATACCAGTGCAAGGACAATTAAACGGGCTGCATGGGGTCAACTCAATCGAGGTAGAAAAGTACATTTCCCTGGATCCACACAGTGAATAGCATTTTGTTTCGATTTTTATTCCGATCCAAACTGGCAGGGAAATGCAAACTTTGTGCATTGCCTCAAGTGAATAACGCACCAGAGGCAACGGACATCATATCAGAGAAGTTTATTTTCAATGCTCCCCCAACGTCCACTCTTTGCATCGATTCCCTCAAAACAAAGTGATATTTAAGTTAGTAATAGCTTCAACTGTCGCATAAGATAATGAACGACCACGTTCATCCAAAGTGGTTTTTAAGTTAGTAATAGCTTCAACTGTCGCATAAGATAATGAACGACCACGTTCATCCAACAGTAGATGGCAGCTCAAGTCAAGCTTGAGGCTGTTTGATTCGACCTGTTGTCTATGCGTTGCATTCTGGCTTCTCAAACCGTACTCTCGTCTTGGTCAAATGCGGACCTGGTTACATGTAATGATTCTGGAAAATATAAACTTTATTTTCTTGATATTTAAGCGATCATTCTGGATACTTTAAGGAGGCAATAAATATCCCATTCTTGGAGCCTTGAATTAACTTTTTAAGGCACGCTACGTTTGAGGAAAATAAGGATAACTGTGACGATTGGAAATACAGGTGATGATAGAAGTTACTTTAAAAGGAACCAGATTATCTAGATCATTTAGAGGTAAATCTAAGGCCTTTTACTACAAGCGTACTGAAGTTGTACTCTGGAGACTTTTTACACGCATAGGCACCTGGACACCAGAAATACGTTGGGCAATATCACTGAACGCCTGGAGCATTCGAGAAGCAAAATTGATGCGACGTAAATAAACTCGGAACAGCGCAAACTCCACAACGCAATAAAATGAGTGATCATGCTAGAAAGCATTCCCAAGGGGTTGCCATGTCGCCAAGTCTAAAGATTCTTCAGTAGGCGACGATTAAATTTTTTTGTGGAAAATGCAGGAACAATAACAACAACAAGCAGTTACTTTTTTTACAGGCCTAAAAACCTAACTTGAAGTAGAGAAAGTAGCTTGCAGTTGCTATCCAGGTCAAGAAGTTGTTCTGAAACTGTAAAATATCAGGAAAATTTCGAGGAAAACCAAATCTAGATTGACAGGAAACAGTTTCTGAAAAACGTGCACATTTTTGAATATGCATACTAGGGTATTAAACTAGGAGCCCCGCAATGCGAAAAGTGGCTGTTCAGGAACTCTCACAGACAAACTTGGGTTTATTAAAAGCACCATTACGACAAAGCGTCACAAACGAAACCGCGGCTTGGTTGAAGCGATGCGTTAGAAAACACCGCTACGATAAAGGTGGCCCAAGCATATCCTCTTATTATGATCTCAGTAACCGTGGCAAGCCGCAAGCTTTGCCACACCCCGCGCGCGCTGGCCTGTGCCCCGCCGGTTGTGTGTGCTCCTTCTGGCTCATCAACGCCTGGGCCACACGCATCAACGTGAATCGGCCGCGAAAGAAGGTGTCCTGTCCCATAATTTACGGTTTAAACATCCTCGATCGACCACATTTTGAGTTTACTTATAATCAAAACGTGATTGCCACCCGGTAATTCCTTTTGTGCCTTACGGTTATTAAGTGCAATTACAGCACAGGTCTGTAGACTTCTGCAACACACACACACACACACACACACATACACACACTTGAGGTGAGAAAACAAAACTGACGAAAATCGTGATCAGCACAGTTTATTAGCTTCGAGGAAATACATAGAGAAAAGGATAAGCGAAGGTTAAAATATTGCAATTTATATATATACTGTGCGTAAATAAACACTTATTTTCGCGTACAAAAAGAGAAGTCATTTAGCACTGTCCCGGTGCCAGTTAGAGGAAGGGGAGGGACATGATGGAAGGAGAGCAACGACTAGGAGAAAATTGTTAGTGACAGCTTGTCGAAAAGTGAACGCGAAATGATAAAAAAGGACGTGGTCGTGGTGGATGGGGAGAGAGAGAGAGAGAGAAGGGGATGGGGACAGAACAAGAAGATACACACTCAGACGGGAGCAAATTATAAGCAGGTGCAGTACGAGGATTGTCATCGTCTCCTGGGGCTTACGTCCTTTCATCGGGTCACGCAGAGTACACACAGGCCTAGCAGATGGTGCACTTTTTCTTCGTCCGGGCCTTCTTGGGAACCGGCGTTCGGTTATTTATCTGACGCACCAGGTCGAAGAAAACCTGCACAAATGCCACAAAGTTTCGTCAATGTCACCAAGGGCATTGGTTACGTCTGCTTTACGCTTTAAACCTAGCCTACCAGACCCACCTAGTCTGCTTTCGTATTGGCCTCAATGAAAACGGTGAGCACTGGCATTTATTTAAACGAGCCTTCCCCAATTCCAGCATTCGCGTCCAATTTCGGTGTTCTTTCTTGACACAAATTAGGCACATGAAAATCTGCAAGACATTTTAAAACTGCTGGCGTCTCCGAGTAAACAGTTAAAATCACGGTTTTTTGTATCAACGACCTTGAAATCTATGGGGATGTTTAAACGTTTAATATCTGCCGATGTGTGAAAATCTCAAAGGCCGTCGACAATGTTACCAAGACATTTATTCAGAACTTTAAACGGTAAGCCGTTTAATGTACAGGAGGGATCGTCAGGCGGAGGATAGTGGCACCGCGTGAGCGCACGAACTACGCGAGCTGTGGAATCCGAGGCCACCACCACCACCAACACCACCACCACCACCACCACCAACAACAACAACAACGGCACCCTCATTACCATACACGAGGGCGGATCTCGAGCCGCAAATTCAGATGCTCCCGTCTTTCTTGCGCCACCAAAGCGGTTATAATTAGAGTTAGGGGTACAAAACTAAGTGAGAATGGAAATTAAGTGCAATCAACAACACGGCCTAGCGCAGAGCATGTTGTCATGACAAGGAATCGCATTCGCTACCGCGAGGGTAACAACTCAGGCGAGGTTTGAAAATTAGACCAGAATGTCAAATTTGTCCACAATAACACGCGTTAAAGACCATAGCGACAAAAAGAGAAGACAATCTATAGAACCTCAACGGGATTCCTACTTGGAAAGAAAAACGAGCGTTACATTTTGAGATTTCAAACATTAAAAACACAAAATTATCCATCGTGTTTACTGTTCTTTAAACTGACTAGAACTACTCCAAACTAAATTTAACCCTTTTATTCAGGAAAGGTAAACGATAGATAATCTTTGGGAGTTAAACAAGCATTGCTTTGGCAATTTCGTTACCGATGACCCCTAAGGAGAGAGAACCTCCATTCGCAGCCCTTACAGTGATTGCAATGGTAATTACTTAGACTCAGACAACAGCAGTTTAGAGAAACGACGTAGGCAAAGGGCAAAATTCCATTAGAGACAACAAATATGAGTGGTTAAGATAACTTCGTTTAACAAATGCGATGCTTGATTACCTAAGCGGGTGCGTAAACAGAATAGGGGCCTTCGTTAATTTGCCGATTTCTGATAAGCCAACAAATCGTAAACACTCAGCGACCTTCGCTTCTTGCAGTTGCACGCTGTGCATAACCTTTTCACAGCAAATTTGTTTATACATACTGCACACAACCACGTAATGAGTTTTGCAGACACTACTAAGGCCCAATCCTTTCACTAACGAACCAGACAGGACGTTGGGTCCGGTGGGAGATATGGGGACTCGGAATTAAAGCCGCACCAAGCGACAAAAAGGCAACACACAAATAAGTGGGAGACATTGGCATCATACGCTTAGGTTAACACACGGCCAGCTTGCACTATTCGGGAAAAGTTGGATAACCGGGGCACGCAAGAAAGGCAACAGTTACTGCTCGCGAATCGCACACAGGAGAGCTCCGCGGGCTGCGCAAGAGCGACGCACAAAAGCAAAGAGGAGCTTCTCCTGCATTTTGAAGGATGAACTTGTGCACACACACACACACACACACACGCATACATTGCGCAGGGTGACTCATGGAGCGTGTAGGCGCGCATGCACACACCACCGCTACCACTGTGGTTGCTAAGATGCCAACACCGAGGTGCGCGCGCGTGGGTGCGTAAGAAGAAAGGCCTTGCTTGTGCAGAGGCTTTGACATTGCGTTGCTCTGTGTGGACGTACTTAGGCGTTGCATGTTCACATAATGCACGAACGAAGGTACACACACTAATGATAAGGCCTTTCAATGTGGCATCGAACAAGCCCTTTCGCTAGGTCAATTAAGGCAGAGCTACATTTACTGCTCCCAAACGCTACGACATGGTCACAGCTGCTAAACCAAGCGAATCATGTGTTCATTCACTTCGTGGGCCATAAGACAGATCAAAACAGCATGTGAAAAGGCATTACCAATGTAGGTTTCAAATCAAGCATGGGCACACGATGCCAGAGACGCATGGAATCCATGTTGTAGATAAGGCCACCATAAAAAGTTTTCGCATGATAGAAAACGAGCCGTGTGATTTGCAGCGGCCGAATCATACTAAAGACACAACTTCTGACAGTGTACACAGTAGACTAGTCACTTTTGATCTCAACAATATTTTCGCTTTAAAGTTGCCTATGAATTTGATTTGTACGATTTTAGAAGTCCCTTAAGTAGGGAGTTGTGAATCCAGCGAACATTCGAACCGAGGTGTAATGGAAGTCAACAAAACACAAGCCTAAAGTGGAAATTTTCGTTGGTAAGAAATGATAGCGTTGATGTGACTACCAAACAAGAGAAAAACCGGAATAATTTAGACCCCATCGCTACTAGATTATTGGCTTAAAAATCTGCGCATTTTTTTTATTTTAAGGAAGTGGGACTGCGAAATAAGAGACAATTTATGTAAACAGGTAAAATGGAATTGGTGTTAATGTCGACTGATCGGAGGATGGCTTAAGTTGTACTTTATCATCGCTTGGTCCAATTTCGAAATCATTTTACGATCGATGCCAGTTGAATGACCACTCATGCACAAGAGGGCAGACTTAGACGAACAATGCTAGGAGGCCATACGCGACAGTAGGAAAACGAGGAGTTAGTGAATGACAAAAACGCAGAATAAGGGCTTACCTCGTTCACATTGATCTTGGCCTTCGCACTGGTCTCCATGAACACACAGTTCCAGCTTCTGGCCAGAGTTTGGCCCTGTTCCCTGCCGACGACGCGCTCATTATCAAGGTCGCATTTGTTGCCCACCAGCACCAGTGGGACTTCGTGTGTGTCCTTTACGCGCAGAATCTGCTCGTACAGATCCGCCAAGTCGTTGAATGTGGACTGTGAGGTGATGGAGTAACACAGGACAAAACCCTGGCCGTTCTTCATGTAGAGGTCACGCATAGCAGTGAATTGTTCCTAAAACGGTGTGATTGTAATTGTACAATGACTCGTGCATCTACTGGCCTGAGTCGCGAGTTCTCCGAAAGCCGCAAGAGTCTTTGGCAAGAAACCGAGCACTTATCAACACCAAACCAATGTGACTAAACACCGGAATTGTGCAGACAGCATGAACTAAATGCAGCACCCAGTCACGAGCTTCGCACAACTCCAGCCACATGTCCATTTACTCCATGCGTTTTTAGCAATCCTGTCGCAGCGTACAGTGGTCAAGCTCCACGAAACACGACAGTACAAATTCGACCTTAATACGGCCCAGAACCCTTTTTACCACAAAAGGGTAACGATTCAAAGCAAGGGACATGGGTGATGGTAGGGCAAGTATAGTTGCCTGTGAAAACGCCAGGCGATTGTTCACTCTGAAGGCGACAAAGACATAAAAACGAAAATGGCACCAGTCGAAATGAGAAGAAACGCCCCGGGTGACCTGTCTGTCTCAGAGAAGGAATAAGTGAAGATTTTCCCCGCTTGCATTTAAACAATTTGACCAGTGGGTAGATAAACACAGCCTTGCTTAGAGTTAAATTAGTTTTACTCCAGGGGACTGATTGGTCTATCAAGACATTCGCATAACCACATCCACCAGTCACAAATAGGTCATTATAAAGTGAGGAGAAGACTGGCCTTGTCCTGTTGTGGTAAATTTGCTTCTCCCTAAACACCTTACCTTTTAGTTGCACGAAACTGCATAAGTAATGCGATCGATGTGAACTCGGTCGAACCATTTGCACATGCGTGGGGCATAGAGAAGGGTTAAAAATCGGGAATACTAAACTTTATGGAGGCCAGTAATATTGGAAAATATAAGGTGGTGAGAAAGTGGTGCGGGACAAGGTACCTGAAATTTCATCCCCAAAAAAATTCAACCAAGGGACCAGCCAACACCCCATAGTCTAACAGAATTAGTCTGATATTCTTGTAAGATGTCTGAGATACAAAGCTTTGCTTCCTACATTCTCTACAAAAAGTGCTAAAGTGGGTATATTTAATAAACCCGTGTACAATACAGGACTTGAAATCAAAAGCTAGGCTGTTATGTAAAAACTGTCTCCTGACTGGGTTCCCATTAATGAAGATATGTCGCAGTTTAATAAACATTCAAAGACAGCAATAAATCGCAAGACGGAATCATTATTTAAGGATGGATCACTTTTCAGAAATAGGAACCAAATTTAACTTGTAAGACACCGATGAATCGTGTGCAGGTTGGCGCATTCAGTTTGATTATTGGGTATAGACATTTTGAACATCACACAGAACACCTATTTTAACTGTTTTGGATTAAGGAACGCCTTCGGTAAATAACGCCATAAAACACATGGACATGCCGAAACCCTGTCTAATGTAAGGCTGAAACGGTGAAATAAGTACTTCACAATATTCCAATTTGAAAAGAAGAAGGTCATTTCTACGGAATGGGAAGACTTACTGTGCCAGCGGTATCAAGAATCTCAAGCATGCACTGCTGTCCGTCCACTTCTATCTGTTTTCTGTAGCTGTCCTCGATTGTGGGGTCATATTTTTCGACAAAAATACTCTGTACAAATTGGACCGTCAATGCACTCTTCCCCACACCTCCGCTACCAAGGACCACTAGCTTGTATTCACGCATTGTCAGTTTCGGTTACGACCACGAAAGTTCTTCTGATTAGGTCCTTTTGGACTGAAAACCAAAAAAAGCTCTCATTACAAACACAACCTTCAAGTTGTTCATTGGGTCACAAAAACATTGGGGCCGAGATTAATTACCTTTCAGTAAGCCCTTGACACCAATTGGAGATTTAATTCATGTGAAACTAGAGCCAAGACCCACGAATAACGATGGAAGATTATGCGCATATACGTAGTGAAGTGAGAGAATATAAGGTTTTTTATTAACTTAGCTTATTGTGTTCCACGACAGTTTTGGGTGACGTCTGAAGCAGCCAAAATAAAACTCCCCACTTTCTGCACTCAACCGAAGTAAGTCTACTAGAAAAACCCCTTCAAACAGGGCGCTTGCTTAGAATTCGCGGTGATTAAATGCCATGGTCATGAAAACAACGATATCAATTCCTTTGGTAGCAGCAGTCCAATCCATATTCAGCATGAAGAGCAGCTCATTTTAGGTTGTTTGTTAGGATAAGGCTAACTTAAATCGAAAAAAGCATACTGTAAAAAAACAACCCAACTGTTCAGAACGTTGAAGTCTGGTAGTACACAACATATTGCAAGATTGGACAGCGCACGTCTCACTGCTTGATTTCTTCTAATTGTACTAAGCTTTACACTAGTTTATGTTTGAGCACTCAGTACAGCGCATTTGCCCGAAGATCATACTCTTGCGGATTTGATAACTGAGATTAACTAAAATTGTATAAACAAAATGTGTGACGTTACAGATTTAGTTATCTATTTATTATTAAGAAGCTCCTGCGGACGCCTGAGGGTAGGTGAAGGCCAAACAGCGGGGTAAGAAACGCAGATCTGACACCACAACACGCGCAGACAATTTTTTTGAGACCCATAATAATACACAAACACTTCTGTGACAAAAGGAAAAAGACATAGTAGAATTCTGAACAAAATTTCGAAGGTTACTAGAAAGCGTTCGATTAAGGCATCAAAACACAGGTTTATCGGATATTGTATCGAAAGCACCTATTTATATCAAGACAGTAACAAGTGTAAAAATACAAGCAACACACCTTATATTATATAAGATAATAATATAAAATGAAAAGCCATGGAAAACCAGCTGACTATGAATCCCTTATTATCTTGACTATCGAAGCTAGTAACAATAACCTTAATTTTGCTGAGAAAAGTAGCTATGGCCATTGAATAATTGAATAAATAGTGAGTGAGAAGGAGCGAAGAAGACCTCCGTTCATTCATATATCTGACAACAGAAAAGCACGCTTTGAAAACCGAATCCTTAATTATTGCAAGGCACCTGGTACGAAACACATTTGGTTAGTTACGTAAGCAAGCAGCAGTACCTTTACAGTAAACACTTAAACAGGGTGCTCGCAATTTCAGTTAACAGAAAACAGTTAGTCATTACAATCTACAAAGTAGTTGGAACAGCAACGGAACTCGAGAGTCGCCAAGGGCGGGACGATGATAGCAAAGGTGCGTTTACGAAGGAAAGCATGACAAAAATGAACGAAGGCCTTCTTTAAAAATGGTACATATTTATTCTACATAACCTCAAGAATTAACCAGAAACTTCACATGATTGTTCGTGCAATAAGGTGACAAGAGGTAAAGCGACATTCTAGCTCAAAAAAATTAGCAAACTAGGCAAGTGTCCAGGTAATTCCAGAGATGTTTAAATTAGAATAAATGAAAATTAAGTAATCCGTAATTCAAATAAATTCAGTTTAGTCTACAAACACAAAAATAGGGATCAACTTACGACAACGACCTCAGATGCCCCGCAGAAAGTATTAATATGGACAAAGTGAAAGATCAGATCAATCATTCAATTGACGGCACAACAGCCGTAAATTGAAAACATATTGTAAGTATATACAAATTTGATCCAAATATACACAAGAAATGATTAATTAATTATTCGGTCAGGAAACGTTTAAATTTTATGTGTTTAATTCAGACAACCTTTAATAAATTGATGTCGTTGGGTCTAGTGACAATAAACTTTTAAGACCGGCTACAATTAATTGGACATTATTCATTCACGAGAGAAGTATACATTATATGAAAATACATTAACTGTAATCACACACTAATGTCGTCTATTGGGTGGCAAAGTAATGTGTCAGCAAAATTATTTAAATCAACAAAGCCACCAAGGATAATATTTAAAAAAATCCATTGCTTTAATTTATCTGCAGATTTACAACCATTTTGTACAAGTAGAGGAATGAAAGAAATTTGATTTATTATTATTTCTACAAAAGGAAATTTTTGAACAGACTTTAATACTTTTCTGCTCCGATTCACCGTCAAGTTTTCACAAGTCAGAAAAACTTGTCAAGTGCCGTCCATCCCAGTCCCCTGGTTGCCCACGCCGCTCAATATATACTGCTCCTCATTCGTGTCTTTCTGTGGTTGCCTGCATACCTTACTTGAATTCCATTGGAAGGCAGAGAGACAGAAAATTGGCTGAAGCCAGGGTGGTATAATAGGTCTGCGCACACAGACGTCGCTACTGTTGAGCAGACGAGCCAAAGTATGAATAAAACCGGTACAACAGAACAGGCTTTATTGACCAATCAGAAGCCAGAGCCACACGTCAGGCGCCTTCCATCCGAGTCCACCACGCTGGCCACGCCGCTCATTATATACTGCTCCTTAGTCGCGTCCTTCTCTGGTTGGCTGCCTTCCTTTCCCGCATGCCATTGGATCGCAGAGAGACACGGGATTGGCTGAGGCTAGGTGGTCCAACATGACTGCGCCCTGATCCGACGCCACACTGCCTTCCCCTCAGCAGTGAAGCTGTCCTCAGCTTCTGGCTTGA